TGAAAAAAAATTCTTAAAAATTATTTTTTATATATGAAATACTGTTTATTGATGCATATTACTTAAAATTTAATATTACAAGTGATTTTACGTAAGTACAACTTATTAAAGCTTTATTTTTAAATTCGTGCAACTAACTGGAGATAAACATAATCAAATACATGATAAACATCTATTTTAAATATAATTAAGATAACATTGAGTTATAACAGAATATTTATTATTATCTTTATAAAAAATTATATTGTTAAACCAAAAATAAATTACTTTGTTATTAAATCTTAATTAAATTTTAATAAAAAAATTGAATTAAAGAAGTTACGCCAAAAAAAAGAGAACTATTAAATAATTAATTTGATACTAATATCGATTCATTTTTTTTTCAAAATTTTATGTTATCTTCAAATTTATATATATAATTCAAAAATAAAAATATTATCGTTTTCTCAAAACCACATAAGATTGTATTATATCAATAGAGACAAAAAATAAAAAATTAAAATTAAAATCGAGATTTATTTCGCAGCATTGCACAAGTATCATTCTAGTTATTTTAAAAGGTATTTGATTGTAGGTGTTAGAAGGTGAAAAATAAAAATGATAATCATTGATAATTTAGGGGTCGTTTACTTAAATACTTACCCGTTAAGCACTTAATTGATAAGATTTTATTCACTAAAACGTATTGTATGCAACAATTTATCCCGGTAAGCGCTAACCATGGTAAAAGTCTTCGTCCTCACTTACCGGGTAAGATTTTTAGCCCTTGCCATATTCATCCGGTAAAGTAAAGTGACTTGGTAAGCGCTTACCCGGGTAAGCATTTGGTAAACGGCATCTTAGTTTAGATTGACGATTGAAAATAAATATTTAATGGTGTTAAATTTTATATAACGGAACCAAACGATGAATTATTTGAGGTCATCGATCGCGACTCTCCAATTTTTTTTAGGGGGAAGGGATGAAAAGGTTAAATTTAAATATGAAAATCAAGAAAAGGTTTTATATAATGGACCGATTGATGAATTGTGAGAGAGAATGTGGATTTGATTTATATAAATTGAAAATATATAAAAATTCGACGTATCTTAATTTCATTGATGAAACAGGTAAGCGTTGGAAAATCAGATTCTTTCTCTCTCTGAACACTCCTACTGATTCTCCGTCACATCCGTTGTGATTAATCCAAAATCGGAGAGGACTCTCAAGTTGTGTACAAAACAAGTAATTCTCCGCCACGTCCGTTACTCGTTTCTGCTATCTTCTTTGTAGCGTCATCATTTTCTTCTCAATGAGTTTGAAGATGGTCGGATCATTGGTAGAGGGTCGTGGGTTCTTCAAGACAACGAATTTGCGTCAAAATTTTCAATGTTCAAGTAAAAGGTCGTATGTTACTGGAGTTTTTTTCTTTCACCGTACTTGATACGCCTTCTTTAGGAAGCTATATATGTTACTGTTTCTTTAGTAAGCTTTTTCTTTCACAATACTCCCCGGAAATTCTAATGTTCAAGTAAAGGGTTGCTTGTCTTGGAAATTTTCTTTCTATCACCGGAATTTATCAGAGTCAATGGATTCTCGCTGGAGTTTCGATGTTTGAAGTTTGACCAAAGAGTTCATGACAGAGCCGAGCAAAGACGGAGGGAGGAACAGAGCACCATTAACAATAACACCTAACCATGGCTTTTTATTTCCGAATATCAACAACGCAAAACCATGCAATGAAAATGCTTATTCCTATTCCTCAACATTTTCATTCCTATTCTCAAATAATCAAATACTCTCTAAGCAGGTAACAAAATTATGGTTAAGCCTATTACTTGAGCCATACGTTACATTTCCCCCCTTAAATATGGCCATTAAAGAAATCTTGATAAGCCATCAATTACTAAATATGGCTCTCTAAAGAGTTTACGTTCACGTCTATCTCTACTTTAATGGATGGTCGAGATTAAACCTTAGAAAACCCTAATTGGAAATCTGGTCCTCTTTCTATCTATACACAAAGTTTTTAAACCACAAAGGCACCATTTTCATGAAAGCAATACAATAAGGGTTTCTATAAGTTGAATCAATCGTCAAGTATCTTCACAATTGGATCGCTTTACCAAACAACACCGACATAATTTAAAGCTCGTTGCAAATGTCGTTGGAGATACTATTTACTTATACAAAATTAATATATAATGTGTACTGATCATGTTGTTCACGATATTTAAGTTTATGTTGATTATACTTACAAAGTCAAGTATATCTTTTATAATTAATTACAATGTTCAAAACTTCCATAAATAGCAATATTTTTCCTGTAACTTGTAATTAAATGGCAGCAAGTTGGGTTTTTAGTTCTATGTCATATAATAGTCTACGTGAAAAACGTAGGAAACTATACATAAAAAAACAATATTAATTATTCAATGTATTCTTCTCTTTTTAGTATAAAAGAAATTATGAACTTTGAGTTCTTCTACTGAATGTGGCGTCTTCTTCATCTTCTGCAACCCGATTAACCTAACCAAGAAAGGATGAAGGGAGCACGCATCAACGATTCGTTTCCTTGCCACTGTGAAATGGTTTAAAAAACATGGACATATGGGACAAACAGGATTAAGAGTTGTCCTGATTATTTGGTATTTTTTTTTTCTATTTTATGTTAACCTTGTTATACATAGACTCAAGTAATTTGTTAAATAGACGTTTCTACTTATTTATGTAAGATATAAACAGTTATTTCAAAGTATTTGAGTGGATTGATCCTAATCTACCAAATGATTGGTACTATGCACCCATCTATGATATGCATTTGAGAATGAAGCAAGATCATGATTGGTCTCATTACTTAGGGGCCGTTTACTTAAATACTTACTCGTTTAATAACATAAAAGATTTGGATTAAGATATTGATACTAATGTGTGAAATTAAGCAATATATATATATATATATATATATATATATAATATCTCTTGGTTTGGTGAAGGTAGCAAGCATGAGTATTGGTATGTAAACATATTTTCATCTTTTGAAAACACAATTTGTTCGTTTCTTGTATGTAAACGTTGGTTGAATGCGTTTTTATTGTTTATCTTGACTTTTATTTAAGTAGTCAAGTAAGTGTGTAGTTGGCTTTTATTTTTTGCCCATTTGAGTTTTGGGGACATTTATCTGGTTTAATTTGCATTTATTGCATCTTTATTTGAGAATTACATGTTTTGAGTGTGTTGGTCATCCAATTAGGGTCATCTAAGTTAGATTATAATATAATGGATCCATAGGCATATAAGTCGTTTGATGGTTTTAAAATGGGATCATTACCCCTATGATGTAGCTAGAAATATTTAGGATCAGTGAAGGACTCGATGTACAGACCATGGGTGGTTGAACTTGATGACAATGAGTTCATAGTGGCTATAATTTCTAGTGAGTGGTCACCAAGTAATGGTTTTGAGAGCTTGCGGTGGTACTTTATTGGGTTGTATATGGAGCTAATAGCCTGCAGTGGTATTGTATAGATTCATATACGAGGCTAGGTCTTGCGGTGGTGCTCATTGGAGCCGTATACAAAGATCGGTAACTTTTATGGTGAACTCATCTAGAGGACAAGTAGAATTATTGATTACCCTCGGGGTTTGCAGTGGTACTTATTGGAGTCGTATACGGAGTTTGGGTCTTGCGATGGTACTCGGTAGAGTCATATACAGAGCCCAATAACCTTGAGAGATGTTCAATTACTTTGAGATATTGAACCTTATACATGTTTTTGGATGTTTTGGATAATAGAGTTTTATCTATGTTTTTAATATTTGAACATTAGACCTTATTCAAGTTTTGAGCGAGTATTGGGTTTTTGATTTCATATTTGAATGGGTGTTCTCATTTAGGGTTTCCATCATGAAAATGTTGGGTTTTGGAAAGATGTTGCCTTTACAATACGACATTTCATTTGAGAAATTATGACTTAAGTAAGCAGTCCTTCAGTTTGCCCATTTTATAATTATTGATGAAAACTGTTTGCACTCACTAGGCGTTAAACCTAACTCATTTTATTTGTCGGCATGTACATCAGGTTTTTGTTGGGAATGGTACTAGCGGTACCGTGAAGAGCTGAGTGCTAGTTAGATGCACGAGAATGATTAGTTATTGAAGGATGTCTTCCATATTTTGGGAGTAGCGACTGTATTTGGATTTTAGTAAAATCCGACCTTGACCAAGACTTTATGTAAGGTTTGATTTTCCATTTTGTTGATGGTAAATATGGATTTGTTATTTGAGGTAATAAAATATTAGTTTACAGAGAATAATTTATCTTTTAATTGATGTTTTACTGAAATTTTTTAATTAGTGGCCCTTTTCCAATTTGAGGGTGTTACAAACAGATACAATGAACAAAGTAGGAAGTATGGTTACACAAGGGGCTTAAGATAAAGCAAACAGAAAATCACAAAGCGCGATACTGATAATTGTTAGAGCTAGAAGAAAAACAAAGACTGATATACAGTAAAAGCAAGAAAAACTAAGACTCATATACATAAAACGAGAAAAGTTAGAAAAAGTAAACAGCTATCCATGTAAGACTCTAGTAACATAAGAGTTACCTCTTTACCCTCCTCCTGCCCACCTCCCACCCAGTCCAAACTCCCCTCATCCTGTCCATGTCAGCTACTAGTCCACGACATAGTTCGTTACTTTAATCTTGCGTCTAAACGTTTTCATCAAAGCTTAATTTAGATATACTTGATTTATTATTGATACATCATCATAAATATACCAGATAATGACTCAACTAGCAAAACACTGCTATAGTTATTTGTTATTAAAGCAACATTTTTTTAAAATTGTCTAAAAATTAGAATCAATTTTAAAAGTAATTATTTACTTTCTAATGTTATGTTTGAATATTAAATTAAAAAAAATAATTATTCAAAAATATAAATAAGCATTTATTTTGGAAGGAAGGAATTTATTCAAGTAGTATATGAATGGAAATAATGGTTCAATGTTTCTTGAGGGGTAGTTTCGTCAAATAATATTCGGATCATAAACCTCCCCTTTGAAGGTCCGACAAGGGTTTTGCGTCTCCCTCTCTTGAAGAAACGCCGGTCGCAGATTTGAAAGGGTTTTTGCAGAAATGCAATCGTTTTGTGGGAGAATTAGATTGCTCACAAAGACCGCCATTAAATCCCCCCCTTCTTTTGATTTGCCGTCGTCTAGGGTTTGCTCCTCTGAACCCAATGATTTCCTTCACTTTTCACGGTTATTTCCTTCGTTTTTTGAGGTAATTTCTCTTTCTTTCGCTTTTTTACTTGATTCAAAGATGATTCTTTGTTCAATTTATGATATTGTTTGGGTAATTTTAAGGTATTGTGTAAAGGAACTCGACAACTTGATATATGAGGTTGTTTTTTCAGTAATGGATGCTTTTTGGTACTAAAATACGTGGAATTGAACTCAAATGCAATTTTTTGAGAGAAATAGGTATTCCATTTTCAACGCAAGGTAGAATTTACAGGGGACGCTGTAGATTCAGGATTGGGTAAAAATGGTGGTTTTGTCAATTGTAATGGAAGATCGCACTGTTACTCTACTAGAATGAAATTATGAGAGGGTTTCGTTCTGTTGTTAATGTCGTGATTTGTTTGTTGTGCCGGTCTAGTTTTTATTTTGTTTTTCAAGTGGGCATAATTGAGGCAGTTTACACCGGTAATGTAGGATGTAGGTTCTGGTGTAAATTAAATGGGAAGGGTTAGAAAAGGAAATGGGTTTGCTAGGGAAGGAGGGAACTAGGAAACTGGCTCATGAGTTGTGTTCTGATGGTACTAGACCTCGTAGGCCATAGGCAAGTTCAAGTCAACAAAACACAAGATTTGGTCCCTCTGGCAGTCTGTCTGCCTGACCCATATTCAGCAAGGGTGAATCAGCTGAAGTAGATAAAAGTTTGGTGGGGAGAGAAAATACAAGTGTTTGAATCAAGTGAACTGTTAAAATCTTTTATGGATCATGTTTACCTCCTTTTTGTTCGAGCAATGCATTGAGATTCATAGGGAAAATTTGAAGTTAATATGTTTACCTGTAAGCGGTAGGAGTACCATCTTCATCAATGTTGACAGTTAGCTAACGGCTGATTGCATCAATTTTTATAGTGAATCCAAAGCTTTTGTCATTATATAGTAAGCTTTCAAGATAATCTTTACGCCAAGGGGAAGCATCAATATATTTCTAGTGTCTTATAGGCTTATAGCCTATAGGTTGATTGCAGGAATTTGCTTATCGTTGGTCTTGCTAAATTCTAAAGTGTTGTTTTCCGCCTTGGTCATGGAAGTTGGGAGTATTTGGATTTTGTCTTTAGACTGATAGATTATGTTGCTTGATGTGGACAACTTCTCCTACCAGCTATGGCATTCTCACCCCTACAAAGATTATGTTGCTTGATGCATTACGACTTATACATACAGAAACTTTTGGCAGGATCATGATTATGTATTACTATTGGTTAGGATTACATTATGTCACAAAGCTATAGCCTGGAAAGTAATGTAGGTTTCCACATTCATATTTAATAAGAAACAGGACACGTTTTTATAAAACTTACTAGTTCAAAAGAAGCGTAAGTCATTGAATTGAACTTCTGCAGATGGATCCATCAAAATGAAACTATGACCGATATTTTAGATCTTAAGAAATGTTTTAAGCTGTGCCTTTACATTCAAGGAAGAAGGGCTTTCTCTAAGATCGTATAGTTATTGAGAAACTTAACTCGGCCATTGAAATTTAATTTTCTATTGTTTTAGAAGTATTGCATAGTACCAACTCGCTATATAAGAAAAAGAATCCATCTCGAAATTCTGGGTGTGTACGATTCTTCATTTGTGTGTGTATGTTCTTTTTCGCCTCTGTAGGGGTGGCGTGGAAGAAAGCTGCAAGTTGTTGGAGAGATGTCATTTGAAATGTGTCATATCAACAATTTGGATATGCAAGCATAGGGTTCCTATTAGGCTTAGAAATGTGACACCTGCTAATAATGGTAGTAGTTCAGTACTGGTGTTCAATTATGCTGTAAAAGGAAGCCTCTACCCCCCTTCACCTGAACTAAAAATTTGTAGCTTGTGGGTTGGTTATAAGTATCTATGTTAATTGCTCACTTTTTCTACTACTAACATCTTTCTTCTTGTGAACTGTGTTCCTGATTTTCTGACTTTATGGTTCTAGCAATAAGGATATAATACTTGGACTTCTGTATTTTCTAGACCAAAAATTATGGCTCCTTGAGAGAATTACCAGCTTCACGGATTGGCACCGGCGTACCTTCAGTAGCATCAGCCTACAGAGAGTCCAGGCCAGGATTCTTCTCGAGGACTCAGCTGGTTCCCCATTTGACCACTAGGGGCATTACAACATCGGATGATTCACAAAAATCTAATCCCCAAGATGCTTCTGCTTCTGTCACTGGTGTTGCTCCCCGCATCAAATTTAAGAGGCTTGATAAAACAGCCAGACACATAATGCAGGCAGGAAATCCTACTGTCTTATTTGCATACTTATCTTTTTGGTGGAAATTCAAATGCTTGCTATCCTCATTTCAAACATATAATTCATTTGCAGATACTTGACAAAGAAGCAGTAGAGGAAGTGCGCACGCACAGAGAGATACCTGATGTAAGGCCAGGGTATATAATCCAGCTCAGATTGGTAAGAGAAGTTTATGTATTTTTTGGCGGTGGTAAATGATCATTGCCAATTTGCCAATTGCTGTTGTATTTGTAACTTATGTGAAGGTCACTCTTTTATACATATTCTGCCATAATCCATGAAATCACAGGAAGTGCCTGAGAACAAGAGACGTGTATCAACAGTGAAAGGAATTGTCATAGCAAGACGCAATGCGGGTCTAAATTCAACCATCAGATTAAGAAGGCTGGTTGCAGGAGTTGGGGTTGAATCTCTCCTACCTCTGTAAGTGTCCTTAAAAGACTTGTTACTTCTGTTTATACCATATACCATAGATTTTGGCAGTTCCACAACATCCATAACACCTCAAGACAACAAGAATTTAAACATAGCTTCAGTAGGCATTATAGTTTTTGTTTGCTTTATTATTAGTTGAACATGGCATTGCTTCCATAAGGTCTGTGTACGTCTTCCCCTCTCAGAGCCAACCTATATATTGCCGGACCCTATCTGCATGTGGATATACTGTATTGGTTGGCTTTGGTTTATCTTTGTTGGCATTGGTCCTGAAGTAAAGAGGTTCGATGATGATAGGTACTCGCCTAATATCAAAGAGATAAAGGTTTTGGACAAGAAGAAAGTGAGGAGGGCGAAGCTTTACTATCTGAGGGACAAGATGAATGCACTCAGGAAATAGTAAAACCATGAGCTTGGTGGCATCGGAAAAAAGAGAGGTATGTTCGAATGGCTGGGTTGGGTTGGGTTGGGGTTTGGTGGTGAGGGAAGAGTAGAACCTGCATCAACTATTACTTTTGCTTACAGAACTTAAAATCTGAAATTTTCTCTCTTTCATTTTGTTTGTTTTAGAATCTTGTAATTGAGACATGGTCTTAATTAATAACGGCAACCCGAATTATATGTTGTAGGATGTTAAACGGGTAACAAGAATTGAGCTTTTTAACTGGTGTGCTTTGGGACCAAACCTGGGATCGAGGCTCGATCATTTCTATCATCCCATTCTATTCTATGCAGTTAATCGCATCGTTCCAGTTTGCGATCCTTTGGCAATCAAATATCAAACCCATTTTATTCAACAATTGATAAAAGAAATCTTTAGCAAAACAATAATATTTTCAGAGCTTTGATTTGATCTTAAAAGAGTCTGAATGGTAAAAAGATAATAAGAAATCTGAGATTGATCTAAAGCATAAGGTTCACTTTCCTTTCTAATTAACCTGCTCGTATGATATAGCAAGATATATCTCAATTTTAATGTTTCGTTTTATTATTTATCTATGTCGATATAATACAAGTTTTAGTGATTTAGAAAAAAGTGATAATGTTTTTATTCTTGAATAAGATATAAATTTAAATATATCATAAAAAAATGAAAAAGAAATATGTCGATATTTGTATCGAATTTACTATTTATTGTTCTGGTTTCTTGTGTAATTTCTTTAATTCAATAATTTTATTTATAATTTAATTTAGATTTAATAGTGAATTAATTTATTTATCGTTTAATAATATAATTTTTATAAAAATAATAATTAAGTATTTTATTTTAATTAATGATTATCTTAATTATATTTTAGATTTTTTATATTCAAAATGAGATTTTTGTCACGTACTTGATCGTGTTTATCTATAGTTAGTTATACAAATTCAAAAATTAAACTTTAATAAGTTATATTTATATACAATTTACTTATGATCTTGAATTTTTAAGTAATATGTATCAATAAACCGTATTTTATGCATAAAAAATGTTTTTTAAGAGTTTTTGTCAAATATTTTATAATATAGTATAAATGATGAATATTGAAATAATTTTGTAATTAAACTAATTATGGATGATATTAACTCTACTTATATATCCCAAAACTCAAATCTTCTAATTAAAATATCAACTCTCCTTATTTACTTAAATTCAAAATATCAACTCTATTTTGTTTCAAAACTCAAAAAAAAAAAAAAAAAAACATCCTTATTTATCTAAAAAATTAAATCTTTTTATTTATCTTTAAAAATCAAAACCTAAATTATCAATTTACACTTTTGCCTAACAATCGAATAGAATCAAAACTGTAACCTATGAAGAATCCTGAATTCTCTTCAGAAATCTTTACTAAATCATCTATACTATATTATAAAATATTTGACAAAAACTCTTAAAAATCATTTTTTATGCATAAAGTACTGTTTATTGATGCATATTATTTAAAATTTAAGATTACAAGTTAATTATACGTAAGTACAACTTATTAAAGTTTTATGTTTGAATTCGTGTAACTAACTTCAGATAAACACAATCAAATAAAAAATAAACATTTCATTTTAAATATAAAAAAAAATAAAATATAATTAGGATAATCATTGAGTTATAACAAAATACTTAATTATTATCTTTATAAAAAAATTATATTATTAAACCAACAATAAATAGAAGATAAACATCTTCATTTTAATGTTTCGTTTTTATTCTTTGTCTCTATCGATATAATACGATTTTATATGGTTTTGAGAAAACGATAATGTTTTAATTTTTGAACGAAATATAAATTTGAAAAAATAAATCGATATTAGTATCAAATTAACTATTTAATAGTTTTTCTTTTGTGTAACTTCTTTACTTTATTTTTTTATTTTAATTTAATTTCAATTTAATAACAAAATGATTTATATTTAGTTTAATAATATAATTTTTTATAAGGATAATAATTAAACATTCTGTTAGTTATTCATGATTATCTTAATTATATTTTAGATTTTATATATTTAAAAAAGATGTTTATCTTATATTTAATTATATTTATCTGTAGTTAGTTATACAAATTTAAAAATAAAAATTTAATAAGTTATACTTACATAAAATTACTTGTAATCTTAAATTTTAAATAATATATATGATTTTAAGTTAAATTTGGGAGTGGGTAGATATATGGATCCTATTTGGCGAATGGTATGAACAAAGAAATTACACGTCACGCTCTGATACGATAGCCTCAATCGGATCCTTGTTCAACCCATAAAAACCCCCAAATCTCCAATCCCACCTTTCGTCTAGCCACACCACACACCTTCACCCTATCCATCTTCTTCCTCAAATCCTATCTTCTAAATCCATGGCGTCTATCTCCGCCGCAGCCACCGCTGCTGCTTCTTCCAAGCCCCCATTTTCATTCGCTTCACCCTCCTCTTCCTCTTCTTCTTCGACCCCTCTTTTTACTCTTTCAAAACCCACCACTAAATTAGTGCTTTCTTCTTCTTTTATCTCTAAATCTACCACAAATCTCTTTCTCCACACTCCCTCTTCATCCTCTGCCGCCCCTTCTCACCGCCGCCGCTCTCTCACCGTACGCGCTGCTCGTGGAAAATACGAGCGAACTAAACCCCATGTCAACATCGGGACTATCGGCCACGTCGACCATGGAAAGACCACACTCACTGCCGCCCTCACCATGGCCTTAGCCTCCACCGGCGGAGGTGTTGCCAAGAAGTACGACGAAATCGATGCTGCTCCCGAAGAACGCGCTCGTGGTATCACCATCAATACGGCTACTGTCGAATACGAGACTGAGAACCGCCACTATGCTCACGTGGATTGCCCCGGCCACGCTGATTACGTTAAGAATATGATTACCGGAGCTGCTCAGATGGACGGAGCTATCCTCGTCGTCTCCGGCGCCGACGGTCCCATGCCTCAGACTAAAGAACATGTTTTGTTAGCGAAGCAAGTGGGTGTTCCGAACATGGTTGTTTTCCTGAACAAACAAGATCAAGTTGATGATGAAGAATTGCTTGAATTGGTTGAATTGGAGGTAAGAGATCTATTGTCTTCTTATGAATTTCCCGGCGATGATATACCCATTATATCCGGCTCTGCTTTGTTAGCTTTAGAGGCTTTAACCGAGAACCCTAAGATTACGAAAGGGGAAAACAAATGGGTTGATAAAATCTATGAATTAATGGCTGCTGTTGATGAATACATTCCAATCCCACAAAGACAAACTGAACTCCCGTTCTTGTGTGCAATTGAAGATGTGTTTTCAATTACGGGTCGTGGGACTGTGGCGACGGGTCGGGTCGAGAGAGGTACTGTTAGGGTTGGAGAGAGTGTTGAGATTGTGGGTTTGAAAGATACTAGAACCACCATTGTTACAGGTGTTGAAATGTTCCAGAAGATTCTTGATGAAGCTCTGGCTGGTGATAATGTGGGACTTCTGTTAAGAGGTATTCAGAAGATTGATATCCAAAGAGGGATGGTTTTGGCCAAACCCGGATCAATTACACCCCATACCAAGTTCGAAGCTTTGGTGTATGTGTTGAAGAAAGAAGAGGGTGGGAGGCATTCACCATTTTTTGCAGGTTACAGGCCTCAGTTCTACATGAGAACGACTGATGTTACTGGAAAGGTGAACTCCATCATGAATGATAAAGATGAGGAATCGAAGATGGTTATGCCTGGTGATCGTGTGAAGATGGTGGTGGAGCTTATTATGCCTGTTGCTTGTGAGCAAGGAATGCGGTTTGCAATCAGAGAAGGTGGTAAGACCGTTGGAGCTGGTGTTATCCAGTCAATTATCGAATGATCTCTCTTGGTCTCTTTGCTTTCGAGTTGTTTGGAGATTTATATTCATAACTGTATGCACTTAATTTTGAGTATTTATGATATCACACATGATGTTGCACCTCTTTTCTTGAATTGATGCTAGTCTCTTAGTTTATTCATGGCAAATATGATCTTGGTTTGATGTTTTACCACTTCTTTCATAATCTCATAATCTTTATTGCTTTCTTTTGGTCTTCAAAGATCAGACATTTTCACTTGATTTCTGTGCTACTGTGCTGTTATCATCATTTTATCTTTCATTCTGCTGATTAGCTTCAGTGGGTGGTGGATCTTGCTGCTTTGCTTACACAAGGGTTTTTAAGCTATCAAGATTTTGATTCAATTCACATGAGAACTTGCATAAGTTACAAAGATACATGATGAATACATAATCCAGTGATTCTGGATAACTTAACTCAGATGATGATATTACTAATTTAAACCATCAACACCAATGATCACCGCCAGCTTAAACTGATACAATATCAACTTGCTCTCTACTAACATGGTTTGTGCCTCGATAATTTACTTTAGAAAATGGTCGAAAAGATAAGTTGCTGAACAAATGCTGCACGATGGCTCTTCTCTTCGTGATCCTTAGGTTCTTCTGCTTCTTTTATGCTGCACATTTAACATAATAGTGAGCCATTGCTGCACCCTTGACCCATAACTCAAATCTTTACCAAAGGGTTATTAGCCCATAAGTACTCGGGTTTACTTGTAGATCCCAACCTTAACCTCCCTGGAGGTCAAGGGTTCAAGGATCACCAAATATGAGAATTGTTTGTGTGTGTTTTGCAGTATACAGGTATTATATACTTTCAAATTTAAAGGTTTTGAATATTCTACCTCTTGACATCAGAAGTGGCAGTGGATACTTGATCTTCTTGAAGCTCTGAAAATGGAGCATTGTACAAAAATGCTGATAGCGGATCAGGCGTGGTTTCTTGCATGTTTCCCCTATCAGTCATTTCTCGTGCGATGTTCATACCATTACTCCACAATCCCGATTTCTGGGACTTTCTCCTCCTCTGCATCCAACCCAAAACGCTTTAAAAAACTGCTCGTTTTTTAAGTACATTTTATGAAGAAATGTATTGAATACCTTTACTGAATGAACATGGTGGGATGTGAAATGCGCAATTGCATCTTTGCCCAAATTGGCTGCACATATCGGACAAACCTAAACAAAAACTATCTTAGATATCCATCTACACTCCCATTTCGATTGAGATCGAAATGAGACTGATTGTAGAATGTTAGATGGTTGATTAACAAATAAAGAGTTGATGGGAATACCGCATTTTTGAGGTCGAAGCAGTGTTCTTCTTGTAGATGGCAACACAGCACAGGGATCTCGATTTCGACATAACAAAATGGACAAGGGAACCAGGCTCTAACATCATCCTCACCGTCCATCATTGGATGATTATCTACACCATAACAAGAAGTAAAAATCAGGGTCATTGGCCCAGTATCCGAATCTCACTGAAATTAATTTTAATTTGGATAGGGTTTAAAATGAAGCCAGTTCTGGTATCTATCAAGAACCAGAAACGACTACAGTTTGAGCATGGAGTAACAGTTGAGCAATCTGCAATTTGGATAGAATCAGAATGAATCAATTTCCATTGTGTATCAAGAATCAAAAAGCATTTGGTTTGACTTTGAAGGTCAAAACACTTGGATGGAATTAAAAATGAAACCATTTCCATTATCTATCATCAAGAACAAGTGAACCACAAACAACTATGGTTTGACTTGAAAAGTCAAACAAGGGGCTTTTTATTTTTCCTCAAAATTATTTATAAGTTCTTGTTCATCTATGATTTTGAAGATCAAAACATTCTGATTCTTGTGTAAAAAAGTAATAGGAAGGATCAGATCTTATTGTACAACACAACACACACACACACACACTCTTAAATCAAGAACACCTGGAATGTTCTGAAAGAGGAACCTTTCCAAAAAGAGTGGATTTTTCCCCAATACAGATCAAATTACAAAAGACCCAGCTCAAAATTATCTTACTAAATATAAATAAACTCGCGACCCATCAAACAAGATTCATAAAAGAAAAGATTTATAAAAGAAAAGAAAGGGTTGAGAGAGAGTTACCGGCGTTGTTGAGACGGCCAGATTGGAGAGTATGGAAGTGGTGGTGGTGGTGGTGGTGGTGTTTTGCTGAGTGAGCTCTTGAACCCCAGAAATCCATTTCCATATTTTCCGTCAACAAGTTTCCGGGGAAAAAGCAATTGTGTGTTTAACAGAAAAACCAAGAAAAGCAGAAAAAGGGTGGAGATTGAGATTTATGAAGAAATCTGGATACTGTTCTTTCTGGGTGTTATAAAGATTGAATCTTTGAGGTTGGAGTGTCCTTTGATGATGTATTTGGACTCTGTGTGTGAGTGTGTGTGTGTGTGTGAGAGAGAGAGAGAGAGAGAGAGAGGGAGGTGAAGCAGGAGTAGGGAGAGAGAGTCCAAGGGGGTCTTCAATGTTCTTATGATGCTCTCACTTTAGGAAAATTGCACTCCCCTCGTAAATGAATTAAATATTCAATTGTTCATTAAATCATTTAACCATATGAAATTTCCTTAAATAACAATAGAAAACAATAGGTGGCTAAAAGAATTATGAAGTATTTTAAAGTTTTAAATTCACATGATAGTTTGGTAATTTACTTTTCTTGTTTTATTTTTTTTATTTTTGTTTTATTTTCTTTGATGGAAAAAAAAACCGCATGTTTGTCTCCCCCTGTTGGATCATATCCTAATATAATTGTGATGCCAAACATGAGATGACCAAGTTTTTATTTTGTTGTGTTTCATGCATGAAAGGCACCATAATAGAATAAAATCAAATCAACCAAACTCAGTATATGATGTAGAGACATCCTTGACCGTGGCCAAACGAGCACAAAAAGAAGCAGACAGAAGATCTCGTGCTCCTTGGCGTGCCCTAAGCCGCATGATGGGTTAGCATCCGAGCGGTTTCTCCAGCGGCTAAAGCCATCAATCCACCTACGCAACTCTGGAAGTTTCCATGCGGCTAGTCTCCCACGCCATCATATCTAAGCTCACCTGCATGTTTCATTTTTGTCTTTATCCTTTATTATGAGAATTATCCTTACGTTTTCTAGTCCTTTTAGAATACTTTTTGTTAGCCTATTCTAGAACCCTTGATTTACCTTTTTTATTTACATTTTGAAATTAATAATACAATTCTCCTTGAGAAGTTTATCATATTTTCTTGAGTATGACATTTTTACGCTCGGTAATTCCAAGGTTCAGACATTTGTCAACCTTTTCGCACTTCTCTGCTGCATCAGTTGGTATCAAAGCAGGATTCGCCTGTCATTTGCTAACCATTCTAGGGTTTAGACGTTTGTCCCCATGTCCGTTGGAAAACACTAGAAACAAGAAGTCACTTGTGATGTTCTTGACATGGATGTTTGTCATGTACTACTAGGCCTGCCATGGCAATATGACGATGATGTTACCTATAAAGGACGTGATAACGTGATGTTGTTCTGTTAGGGAACCCACAAGATAGCCATGGCTCCCATCTCTCATTTTCGGAGACAAACCTAAGCAATGGGACTTGGCCTTACCCCAAATCGAGTTCAACAGCATCGTCCATACCGCCACCGGACATTCACCATTTTCTCCAGCCTACACTTCTACACTCAAACACATGGTTGATATGATCAAATTACCACGACTGTACGTCAGGAACAAGCACTACGGTAAAAAAATATGGCCAAAGATGTACAAGCTGGAGGGAAGCTATCAAAGCAAACTTGAAGCCACAGGTGAAAAGAACAAAAACGACAGTCGATCAACATCGACGAAAAAGGTATTTCATGAAACGATGATGTGATGGTCTTTTTAAGAAAAGAAAGATTCTCATTCAATACCTATGGAAAATTACAACCACGAAAATACGAACCTTTCAAAGTGTTATAGAAAATCAACGACAATGCCTATGTCGTTGCTTTACCCGAATAACTAAGCATCTCCAATACCTTCAATGTCGTCGACATCTACGAGTACTATGGAGATGAACCCATTTATTCAAAAGAGAACTCGGGGTCGAGTTCTTTAGAGGTGGAAGAGACTGATGTAGAGAGAATAGCCACTGTTATTGAAAACTCCCTTGACCATGGCCAAACGAGCACAATAAGAAGCAAATAGAATGTCTTTACGACCCTTGGTGCTCCCTAAGCCGAGTGATGGGTCACCCAACTCAATAGAATCCAGATCAAGCATCCGCACAGTTCCTTCCGTGTCTAAAGCCACCACTCCATCCCCGCAACTCTCTGGAAGTTTCCCCGCGGCTAGCCACCCGACCTAAGCCGCACAACTAGTCGCCTGCATCATCTGATCCAAGTCCGCACTTTTAAATAGTCTTTATCTTTTATTAGAATAATTATCCTTACATTTCTAGTCCTTTTAGAATACTTTTTGTTAGCCTATTTAAGAACCCTTAATTTACCTTTTTATTCACGTTTTGAAGTTAATAATCCGGTTCTCCTTGAGAAATTTCTCATATTTTCTTGAGTATTACGTTTCTAAGCTTGATAATTCTAGGGTTTAGATGTTTGTTGACCTTTCCACACTTCTCCATTGCTTCAGTATATTTCCTAAAGATTATGGTTTTAAAAAGACATTGCATTTGGTTTTGAAGTCAGAGAAACTGTATTGAGAGGCTCTCGAATTGCAAAAAGCCACAGGCTACATTCAAGATTAATATAGTAAATACCAGTGATTCTACTGATATAATTAACGGTGTTAATTATTTTTATAGAAATATAACAAAATAATATGGATTACCTTTTCTAAAATTACTTTTCTTGAGTTGCCTTCTTTTAATTTTGGATTCATTGCATTAATTAATGGCATATTATGTTTTTAATAACTTATATAAATATACTTCTTTTCATACAAATATGAAACATAATTTTTAAGAAATATGTATGGTCTAAAACTTACCCTCACAATATAATCATTACAAAGATATACCAATGAAATATTTATTTATATTAAATACTCATATTTTCTATGATTTTTTGGATAAAAAAGAATATATATTTTACGACCTATAAATCTATAGGTGAAGGATCGTGTGATAAAGAGAGTTAAGATGAAAAATGTAAGAAGAGATTGATACTCTTGATTATTTTTTTTATCTCAAATCTATCCATGAATTGCGCTCGAGACGAGTATTGATATGTTGCATCTCATTCTAATATGCATCGAAGGGTGAATATCCTTACGCTTCTCACCTTAACTCTCTTTATCATCGGAACTCAATCTTAAATCTATAATATAATCTTATATATAGGGTTGGGTTTGGTGAAAAAGAGAGTTAAGGTGAGAAGCGTAAGAAAAGATTTTTAGCATATGAGAATGACATGCACCGGATCAATCTCCATATCAAGCGCGATTCATAGATGGGTTTGAGATTAAATGTGATAAATGGTACATGTTCCATCTTAAGTTTCTCAGTTTTAACTCTTTTTCTCACACAATTTTCTGTGCACACACACACACACATATATATATATATATATATATATATATATATATATTTGACTAATCAAGGCAAGTATTTTTACCATCATCTCTAGACCGGCTATGTCTAGATGTGCCAAAAACATTGATGAATGAATTATAACCATGGGCCATGACTAAACAGGACCTATTAAAAACTTATTCGGTCCCACAAGTTTTATTGGTCCCGTTTCAAAACCAATAATTTATTAAGAACCGGTTCTAAAAGTCATTACATAAGGACCAAGACCAGTTACCAATTTGAAGATCTGGTCATTCAGACTCGCTTTAGAAAGAAAGAAAATGCTCAAAACGTTCTAGTTTTTAACTTGGATTACGCTTTATTTACCGACCCGATCGAACCCAACACGATAAAACATCCGAACCGGTTAACAAACAACCGTGTTAACCGGTTATTTAAGAAGACGGGAGGAAAAAGAGAAGGCAAGTTGAGAAACAGACGACACGTGGCAGATAGATAGAGGGTGAGTCTATCTTTTATTTGCGTTGCCTTGTCATACTCGAGATTGTACACATCACTGTCGAGTCAGATTTTCACAACCTTCCAAAAACCCTCCCAAAGTTTTCCTTTTTTCTCCTTTCTCCTTTTTCTTTTTTATCCCCAAATTTAAATCATATAATTTATTTTAAAATTTTATATACTAAAAATTTAGAGATGAGTTATTATGCAACCTTTTACATTTATACAATCAATATAATTTAATTTTCACCGTCCATTTAATTTGATGAATATATGATTTCATATAAGTTTTGATTGTTTTCTAATATAAAGTATTGATCATAATTAATGAACTCTAGTCATCTTCCATAAATATTTAAATCTTTATCATTTTCATAATTATCTCAATTAATTGGGTTGCATTGGTTGTACAAATGGATATGATTGCATTTAAAATATATGTCCTTAAATAAATATTTTGAAGAGAATACTTTTGAAAAACACAATGAAATATTTTTTAGTGCATTTGAACCTCCTGGTCACAAGAGGATTTGTATTCCTCCTTAGATTTGAACATAAGACCTACTAATAATTTTGACTTTTGAAGTCAAGCTCAAACCAATCAAATATCACCTAAATATGGTATGTTTGAGTGTTAAATGGTGCATGAGGGTAGAAATGACTTTTACATGGCCATTAAAGAAGTCAACTAAATGTGTATGTAAGTAATGTAGCAACCTACCAAACACAAAGTGCATTAATTTCCCTTTCTTGGAGAACATTTAGGTCAATCATTTCTGCATTTAATTTTAAACTCAGCCTTTTCAAAATTCACCCACTTTTTTTAAAGCTATTCTTCAATGTCATAAATTACTTTCATTTTGCTTGTAAATAAATTTACTTTCAATTTTAGGCATCAAAAATTAACAGTTATGTATTCATACAATTCATCTAAATTCTAAATTTGATAACTTCGGGGTATCTGTAAAGCAGGTGGTCATCTTGGGATTAGTCGGCTCGCATAGCGGATTGGATATCCAGGTGAATCAAAAAAAAATTGAGAACTCAAAACCTTGTTTCGTTTTGTTTTCCGACCCTTTTAGTTTAACTTTTGTAGTCGTGTTAGTATGACTCAATATTCGTCTTGTTTGAATGCGTTTATCTATTTGTTATACAAGTATCTAAACGTGTTTGGCAAGTTTTAAAAAGTTGTATGCATAATGCATGTTATAATAAGTCGTAAATTTTTTGAAAAGTTAAACATATGAAATAAATGTTTTATAATATAACTAGAAGGGTACTCGCACAATGTAACGAGATAAATCTCTATTTTAATGTTTAGTTTTTATTATTTGCCTCTATCGATATAATATGATTTTTATGTGGTTTTGAGAAAGCGATAATGTTTTTTTTATTTTTGAATGAAATATAAATTTGAAGATAGCATACAAAATTTAAAAATAAAATAAAATCGATATTAGTATTAAATTAACTATTTAATAGTTCTCGTTTTTTGGATGCAACTTCTTTAATTCAATTTTTTATTATAATTTAATTTAGGTTTAATAACAAAGTAATTTATTTTTGGTTTAATAATATAATTTTTATTAAAGATAATAATTAAATATTCAGTTAGAAACTCAATAATTATCTTAATTATATTTTAGATTTTCTATATTTAAAATAGATGTTTATCTTGTATTTAATTATTTTTATCTGCAATTAGTACATAAATTTAATAATGAAGCTTTAATAAAGGGGTGTTTGGGATTGCTTATAAAAACTGTTTTTTAACTTATTTCAGTCTGTCATCGGTGATAAGCTGTTTTTTTTGTGTTTGGATAAGAAAAAAAAATTGTTTATACCGATGCCAAACCAGTAATAAGCTGTTTTTGATAAGTTAATCGTTCATGATTTATGAAAAACTGTTTATTACCAGTTTACAATTTTAATCATGTTTTATTTAACTCCGGTTTGATACCACATAAGTTAATAAGCACTTTTACCAAAAAACATAAGTTGTTTTAATAAGCAATCCCAAACACCCCTAAGTTGTACTTATGCAAAACCACTTGTAATCTTGAATTTTAAGTAATATGCATCAATAAACAGTACTTCATGCATAAAAATTGGTTTTTAAGAATTTTTATCAAATGCTTTATAATATAGTATAGATGTGTGTGTGTGTGAGTGAGAGAGAGAGACTTAGGGGCCGTTTACCAAACGCTTACCCTGTAAGTGAAGGCGACTTACCACGTTAAGCGCTTACCAGGTAAATTATTGTATATTATGTCGTTTTGGTGAACTAAAATCTTACCCAATAAATACATAATAATGTTAAATTTTACCAGTAAACACTTACCGGGTAAGAGTTTGATAAACGGCTCCTTAACATAAAAAAAAAAAAAAAAAATTTAAAGATGATGAAATAGAGTTAGGACGGTATTTTAGGAGAATAGAACATTGGGTATGCAAGAATTAATTGAAATTTGAGGTAAGTTGTAGTTGGTATGTGATATAATAAAAAAATGTACATAAACTTATAATATAATCTTAGATAAGAACTAAAATTATATTATAATATATATTTGATAAACGTATCAAGCAATAAAATATTATGTAAAACATATGAGAATAAACAACTTAACCACAAACTAAAATCAGTATGGGTCCAATACAATGGACAAATGGTGGCTTAATGGCATTATGACGCTCACCAAGTCTTTTATAATGTTAATTTGGCTTCATTAATTATATATAAGTTAGATATATACTATATAGATGAATGGTTGTTAAGGGTTTTTTTTCTATTTTTTATGGTTGTCACGCGAACCTATATATACATAGATATGTGTGTCTGTATATATAGAAGGGGGATCAAATAAGAACAATGTCAAAATAAGAAAACACAAAAACAGCTAAATCACCTGCAAAATCTACATGTGACTTTAGAAGACGGTAAAACACAAAGGTGTGTAGATGACTTGGTCTGGGCAGAGTTGTCTGAATCATGTATGATTTTACATATGATTTGAGTGTAAAATCATGTAATATGCCGTTTTCGTGTTCTCTTGTTTGGCCACTTTTGGACCCACCTCTATATATATATATATATGTGTGTGTGTTTGTCATTATCAGAGGAGCAATTATAAGGGGACTTGATTGGTTTAGTCATACCAAAATTCTCTTTTAACTTTATATACAAAATGGAAAAATGGCAAGTAATAATAGAGGTTGAGGAGGCTATGAAGAATATTTTATTGTCGGTTTTTAAATCTTATTTCTTTTAGGTTTCTTAACCTTTAAGGCTTTTCTTTATCATTCTTTCAAAAAGTGTTCTTGAAGAATAATATCATGGAGGGTCTACTTCTTTTTTATTGTTCTTTAATATATATATATATATATATAGTCTTTTTAGTTCTTCATGAAGTGGGTATACACATTATAAGGTTCAAATAGTACTACACACGTTTTATACCAAAAAGATGAAAACTTATAATATCATTCATATAGGTCACACTTTGAAGAGAAAGAGGTCATTCATGTTTGGTAACAAGTAACAGCAATTTAAAGCATCTCCAATGGCACAAATGCCCCAACTTTACTTCAATGGTAAATAGTTATTCAAAGAGCTTTTGAGAAAACCTTCATCTCCAATGCCAAAAAGTCTATTTTAATGACTTGAGCAAATAGTAAAAAGTTTTTGAAGGCTTTACCATTGAAGTTGCTCTCGGTCCACCCATCACTATCGAACGAAAGGATTCTATAAATAAAATGGTGATTTATATTTGTCGAAATCAAGACCAGAATCGAGTAATTGACCTAAGAATGAGGTTGATCTCATTATGGAGATGAAATTGAGATAAAAAAAACTGGTTTCATATGTTGTCAGTGTATTAGTTCAAGTTTATGGCATAAAGGCAGTTTCTATATTCACAAGTTCCTGAGAGATGTAGCAAACTAATCATAAACATGAAGGCCCAAGATTATCTACCATTCCAGACAAGAAATTGCTTGTATGATGGACAACAAGTTTCCTTACTAACCTTGTATCAGCACTTATTCGGGTATCTCTGAGCGTTCCCTACTGATCGTGTTGATCATTGTGCGCAAGAACTTGGTGGGATCGTGACATTTAGAGTCAACAAGTGCTGCATGAGTCAAGAACGGGAGTTTCCTTAACGATCTTCCACTCAATCCCTGGATCAGAAAGTAAAAAACACATTAGCACCTGGAGTATCTCCAACAGATTCTCTGTAATTTCTCCAAAGGGAGAAGCAAAAGTTAAAATCCCTATAGAAAGATAACATTCGACTCCAACGGTTTCTCCATTTTTGAGATTTAACATTAATTATATTATTAAAAATAAAAATTTTATATAAAATGATCATCCATTCATCTCTAAAATCTCCATTTTGGAGAATCTGTTGGAATTGCTATGACAATGAGTATTCATTAACCATTGTTTTTGTTTTACAGCATCACGATTAATTATGCAAGGAGTAGATCGCTTCTCACCTCACATGCTTCGGCAGCTTCAAGCAAATACTTGCTTATGTCCCAGTGGGATTGAGAGTTTTCTGTCGTTGCTGAAGCCAATTTGTCTTTCAAACCAGCATAACTCAGAAGAATCACGTGATCGCCATCCTAAAATAGCCCAACATGTTTCTTGAGCAATGAGCAAAAGAGAAATGTTTTTGGTCGTGCGTGATTCATGACCAAGGAGTTGAAGCGAAGATACCTGAGAACTGGACAAGATTCCGGCTCGTAAAAGCTCTTGCAAGCATGATCTTAGTATCTCATAACGTGCTTGTAGAGTAGGAGGACCCACATATGCTTTTATATCCGCTCGATCAACAAATGCAATATCTACAAATACAAGACTGGTGTAAGATTCCATTTTTCCATGAAAACAACTACTCCATCCCCAAAGAGTCCACTTAAAGATCTAGACAATTTTATACCTGATCTAATACAAACTAACCAAAATGAATAGCCAATTTCCAGGAAGTAAATAACAACAATTTAGGAATATCAAATAGAAGGAAACAACACAGGAAATGTAGCTAGATGAGGATATAAGAAAGAAACCAGAGATGATATATCTTCCATATATTACTGTAAATACGTTAAGGCAGAGAAGGATTGATATTGCCAATCAAGGTTTTAAAGTATTGATTCATATCTGATCATAGAAAAGATTCTCTTCAAGCGAACCAGCCTATCCTCTGTATGAGCTTATGTGATGATTGGAACAAAGACACATTTGGTTGCGAATTCAAATGTGGCAGATAAATAAAGGCATATATCTGCGTAGACCAATCAATAGTTCAAGTCACACACTCCCATAATCCATTTTCTYTTCGGAAAATTCCCTTCAACTATTGATGTAAAATAAAAAATATTGTGGAGTTCAAGGGAAGTATCCAAATACATGTCTTATTATTTTCAGTAATCCATACTTGTAGCAATAAAATACGAGCGTTCCAACCCCAAGTGATAAATGATGAATTAAAAATATCTATAATATATCTTCTCTATAAAGGACCAGAAATACCTTGTTTATGTATCACTGGGAAGTGCATTAACATAAATACGACAGTAAAGAGACGAGGCATTTTCCCTCCATGAGGCGAGGCGTAAGCCTCGAGGCAGTACGAGGCATAAATCTCGAGGAGGAAAATAAAAATAAATAAAATAATATTATATTATATATGTAATATTAAGCGGATAATAATATTTAGAATCATAATGTTGCTAATAAAGTCTTTAAAATACTTTAATTTAGGGAATTAATTGTTAAAGGTTTTATTTTTTAATAAAAACAAATTAGAGAAACATTAAAAGCCTCCCACATAAAGAGAAACAATAAAAGAGACTCAGATGTCAAAAGATAAAGAAAAGTCACGCATGCTATGTAAAATCGAAGAGTCCTTGTGCACCTTCCAAGTCCCATCACTAGTAAGTAGTCTTACTGTATAAAAACGAAAAATCACACATAGCAGTAAATTTTCTTCTTCAATGGCCATGCACAAGGACAAAGCAAGGAGGAAAGGTTTCACTTTAAGGGGTCTGTAAGTATATTTTCTTTGATTTGGCATATTTTTTAACCCTAAAGTCTTAGTACCGCCTCGGTAGTTCGAGGCGTACGACCTAACAAACCTAACAGGGGCGCCGCCTCAAGAATGTTTTTTGACCGCCTCGCCTCGGCCGTTTTAGCAACCATGTTGCCAGTTACAGAAGGGAAGGAGATATGAAGAGTGATAAAATTGGCAGGCTATCTTTTTTAAGGGTAAAAGATTTATATACGGGGAACACTTGCATATAATAAGTAAGCTGTAAATTATTTTGATAGAGAACTCCAAAAGACGAAAGGTGTTCCATTGTAGAATGATCGTATACGGTTCTCTGAAGAAAAAAGACCAAGAGTTTAAGGTAATGGGTCCCTGAGGTCCTGAAAGCATGATCAAAATAAAGATCCTGACAAGCAAATTACATTGGAGCAACCCCTACCTTACAAATTAGTTTCCGAGCAAGCAATACGTTAAGTGAAAACAAGTACCCTTCTCGAAAGAAAATAATGTTGGCAAGAGTTCAGTGACATCCCATTTGTGCTACATATTACCGGTCCTCTAGCTCCTATTTCTCATGCATGTTACATTTCTAAAAAGGCTTGCCACAATGTAAGCCTCACCCGTTTTGGAAGCGAATAGACATAGATAAAAGGTCTTCTACGATCACGTCACACAATAACAAAACATTAAAAGTACGAGGCTTATTTCACAAATCCAGCAAGTCATCTAACGACTTGTAGATTTTTAAAGGCTGCCAAACACAAATTTCCAAAGATCTACAGTCACCAATAACCACTCTATGAGATGTTTGGCATTTTCCCTACCGTAACTGCTAGAGAACAAATTTGCATGTCAGTCTGGCAAGGGTGATCATATGATAATCAATTGAATTTGCAAGGGACTGCTGGATCGTTAATTTGAAGTACTTTATAGATAAATTTATAAAATTTCATGTGGGCTTGTTAGGTTGGTCTTCAATATGAGATGAAAAATATCGAATAGGAAGAACAATAACAAGAGGAATTGTGCATCTAATGTCGTCAAAAGTGACACAATATGGTGAACTTTCAGGGATTTAAGATTTAAAACCTACCAATAGCAGCTGTTATGTTGGATGTAGTCAGAATGATCACATTTGGTGAAGACTTCAATTTGTCCATCTGAGTCAGTAGAGCATTTACCACCTGATCATGTCCAAGTTGCAGATCAGAGAAGGATCAGATCACTGTTTTGCTTAAAGAATTGGCTTTGGTCATCAGAAAAAGCATGAATGATATATTGGTATTTCAAATCATTGTACTTGGCAAGGAGATGTTAACTAACCACAATACTTCCCAAAACTCAAAGAAAAACAAGATTTTGCAGTTGTTTTTTTTGCCATGCCGAGAGTATGTTGATTAGCGGGCAGCTCACTGCCAAGTACAAAGATTATAGATTGTTTCATTCCTTGAGAGTGTTGATACCCTTATAGAATCTGAAGGTTCTGAGCCAGATAAAGCAGCTTTTCTTGCTGCAGCTAGGCTTTCAACTTCATCTGCAGCATAGCGAGTTATTAGTATTTTTTGTTCAGAAGATTTTCATCTCGATTACAATCCGATGTATCACTGATCACCCTACTGTTTTAGGCGAGTTTACCCACAACACATCAAATCATTAGAAAACAAAGTAATCTGTCCTTGTACATTCATTAATATGTCACATGTCCAGCTTTGATAGATCTATTTTGGTCCAGAAACAAACTTCAATCCATTTGTGTACATCTTACTTTCTTAACATCCCAAGATTGGCTTCTTTCTCTAATCTAAATTTGAGAGATATATTAATCATGGGAGAAGAAGAGGGCTGGCCATGACATGAAAGAGAACAATAAGTATATAAAAGATCCCCCAAAAAAATGTTTGTTTGGACCAGAACAACCCAATAAAGAGACATTTACAAGAAATGAGACATGTGGTACCAACGTCCTTTCTGACTCACATGTTCACTAATGATTAGCTAAGATTGAGCTTAAGTTTACCAAAAGATGGTGTACAAGATTGAGCTTAAGTTTCCAATTAGACTAAGGTGCAAAATTGATAGACTTCAGAGTATAAAGATATTAAAGAAGGAAAGAGAAGAGGGGAGAATGATAATAAAAAGATAAAGCACAAGTTATGGATAAGTCCTCGAGTTTCTAGATAATTATATTAATTATATTAAATTTTCTTTATTTATTTTCCCTAAGGATTCGTTTTATGCTAGGAGTCTTTTACTTACTAGTTTAAACACCTTCATTGTTTACCTTTTTGGAAATATAGATCAATTTATTATAATTCAATTCTCTGCCACTGAATAAGGAGAGACTGCAGCCTCTCGGAAGCTGCAAGGTATTAATATTCTACTCTTGGCATTTTTTTCGACTCCTATCACAAACCTTGTGAATGAAAATGTTATCACCCAGCAGAGCAACTCCAGATCGACAATCATAGAAAAACAATAAAATGAGTATCCAATTGACAATTTCTCATTTCTCACCAATCAGAACAAATATCAGATTGTTCTCCTCCTCCACCATGTCTTGAATTTTCTGAAAAAGTTTGGCAACCTGAAACCATGTATACAAGTGGGCATGAATGATTATGGGCTCAACCTTGGTCACCATAAACAAAGGACTACGAATAGTCAGCCGAGAAAAGTATAATTCTTTCGCCTATAGGTAGCCAAAATCCCGGGAAAAAAGAACTTATAACAGAGAAAAGTCTTGGTGAAGACATACATACACCTAATCAGAAATATAAGTTATAAAAGTGTACTTATAATTCATATAGCAAAGACTAGCAGCAGGTCCCTCCGTATTCTGAATCTAAATGAAGATTATCATTGCATAACCCTAAACTACCTATATGGTGGATATCATACATCGAGAAGAATTCTAAGTCCCAATGAGTCTGAACGAATGCCATAGCCCCAGACGACGGGCACACCCCTTTGCCTTATCTGAAGGATATTCCAACAACGAGGCTGACTGGTTCTTGTTGAGCAAGAGTCTCATCTTCTCGGTCACCAAAATTGTTAAGGCAAATTTGACATGCAAAATGCACTAGAGAAAGCATGCTAATGCTTTATAGTCATCTCGATTGTCTCCGAAATAATAAAATTAACAACTATATAAGCTCTCTCAAGCATCTACATATATCCTCCTTTGCAAGAGGTGCAGTCGCCATCATATATCTCAAACATAGAATTAAAATTTTCAACGTACTCGATCAATCTTTGTTTATTTTTAAGAATTGGATACATAGATACATCACATAAAATGGGTAACAGAGAAAACTTAAGTAGTATGCCCAAGAACAGATCGTTAGATGACTGTATTCTGAGCATTGAGTTATGATTTTAAAAAATAAGGGCATTGTATGATGTTTGTGTTTGTTCTTATACTATGTGTTATATTATCAACATTTTAATAACCCTGGAATAATTTATTTATTCTGCAATATGTATTTCGTCAAGTAACACTTTGGACTTAGGTTAAAGTAGTATGGATTAAACCAGCATATGCAGGAACTCATATGGTTGATTACTATAGAGTTCACATATGGGTACAAGTTAGTGAACTTGTTAACTGAACTGACCAACCACAAAACTGCATAGGATGTCATATGAGCATCGTAAGCGTTTCTCATATGGTTATTGTATATAAAAAGTCATTTAACTTGATGACCTTGAAGTCAACTGTATGTGAGTCAAACACTTTGATAGTAGATCTAATCACATCCTAACTGAGTGACAAAATAGTCATTGGGTGTATCACAATATAATGTAGTGAGACTTGATTGATCATATATGATTTGTCGCTCCTGGATGATGAGAAAATGTCTCTAGTCCCCTTGATGGAATGAAACCGAAGAAATACATGTATGTTTAGATAGTCGAAATGGTATTGGTATATGTTATATGTGCAGTCTATTCGGATACCAAGAAACTAGAGATTGAACATCACAAGAATGACATGGGCCATGTCTCATGTTCAATGCACATTTAAGACAAAGTGACACGATTTACTAATGTGTGTGTGTGAAAAGATGTGAAGGTTCGGCGAGATCAAGGTGAGCCAACAGCTAGAAGGTGGTCTCATGGGTCTCACGAGAAGTGGACGGTCTCACATGATCTCAAGCCTCTATATGTGTGTATGCATATGCACGCACATTAAAATAGCCACAAGAACTGAGATTGGTTCACTAATTCTCGTCACTTGGCTAGTAATAATTTATTGCTAAACATTGCTAATAATGATAAAGAAGATTTATTATTATTATTATTATTGTCAACTTGACAAGAACCCAAAGGGTCACACACTTTGAACATATTTAGGAAAACCAATGTGTTGGTTAATTGAGCTAAGTAATATATAAATTAAATGAGATTAATTAATAAATTCACTTGAGCCCAAAAAGAGGTTATAAAGGAGTGAGGTTCAAGAGGAGAGATGCACCAAATGGCCCAAGAAAAACCCTAACAGGATTAGAGTTTCACAAATTCCCTGTAAAACGATGGAAAGCTTAACAGAAGGGTGTGCAAGTTTTAGCCATTCCACCATACAGTAGGAGTTTTGCAATTTTTCTCTCCTACTATTGCAGCCCTAGCTATGTAGTCATGGAGACAAAGGCATTCCTATGATAAGATCATGATCCTGATGTTCGTGTGGATGCCATCCGAGAGTTCTTATGTTTGAACTTACGATTCAACACACTGTTTTGCCGTTAAGAGGTACTTCTATTTTAAATTGAACAATAGGTTTTGTTATATTTTACATGAACCACTTTTGGGATTTGACTTTTTCTGTTGCTAGTATGGTTTACAGAATCCTAACAGTAAAAGGAGTGACCCTGGTGCACCAAGTCTCCTCGTTGAGAGGGTTGGAGAGGAAAGTTTCTGTATGCAGCCTTCCCTAGCATTTGGCGAAGTGGTATTTCTATGACCCAAACCAGTGACCATCTGGTCACAAAAGAGTAAACTGGTTGCTCCAAGGCTCGCCTTTAAATGAATAAGAGAGTAATTATTGCCAAACTTGTTGCAAGATGTAGACATGTAGAAGTTTGAAATATTATCAAAGAGATAAAGCTGTAAGGATTACCAATTTGCCACTTTCAGAAAACCATTTACTGAACAATGAATGTGCATTAACTTCCACCAACTGACAATGTGGATATCTGTTATAATTGCAGAAAATAAGAAAAGTTAAGTTAGCATAGATGCAGTAATTACATATGTCGCACATACAGTGCACCACCTGAGACAATACTCTATACACACCTAGAGCTAAAACGTATTGACAGTTTCTGTGCCAACGCTTTGCATAATGATGTCTTGCCTGTTCCTGGAGGACCATGTAGAAGAATGATACTGCGAATGTTATAAGAATGATATTAGTTTGGATAGAAGATACGAGAAATTATTTGCTATCTGCTACATGACAACCATGAATAACTATAATCAAATGAACATTGTCATAATACAAGATCAAATTATAGAAAATGATTGATGATCAAGGAACCTATAAGATGCTGCAGAACATTATAAAGTGAGACCATTTCAAAATGTTGTTGCATGATTCAATTATGCTCAATTGGGAATTTGGCATCCGCGTTGCTCGAAATACAAATGTTGCATTACCATGTTGATTTATCAATTTGTATTTGTAATAGATAGATGGGATAAGAATGATTGTTGATAACTCTAAAACTGGCCTTCATTTGAGCGTGAGACTATAAATAATTGAAAGATTTGTATGTAATAATTACAGATCACCTGCTAGAATCCACTTCGAAGTGCAGACTAATTTTATAACAACGTAATCCATTAATGACACATGTTTATGCTATAAGTTCCGCGTAGAGAGAAGCCTTCTTCAAAACACACCTCCCCAGCCCACAACCCAGCTAAAAAAATCCATAAAAACACTTTCACAGGTAAAAAGTTAAAGGGTGATATTTCAGCCATATTTACCCATTGAGTTTGTCATAGTATGCAACTATGCATGTCTGTTAGACAGTCTTTGTCATTATGATAACAGTATCTTTTTTCTAGAGGACAAAGAAAAACTACTTGAAACTATTACACTTGTTCTTTCTAGTTTTCAGGTTTAACAGCTCCATTAGAGCTTCTTCAGAGGAAAAACAGCATGATGGTAAGATAACATGACCAAAACACCTGCATGACTAGTTCTTGCCAGCTCTAAAATACCAAGTTTATAGATGCCTCTATGTGGCACAATGGTCTTATGCATTAAGAAGCCTTTAGTTGATCGCACCTCAGAGTTTTGTATTCAGTAGAACTCTTGTGAAGAACATATATGGAATTCAATTAGCAGTTAGTGCCGGCTTGACGCACCTCATGTTGTATTAATAAAGAGGTAGCTCTTAAGAGATATTACCAATTCACAAAAGCAGGATAATAATCAATTTCAATCTATTTAGAGAATCAGACTGAAAAAATATTACTCCACAGGGGAGAAGAACGTACCGGTTCCATGATACAAGAAAAGGGTCAACACCCTTTTCAGTAAATAACAAAGCACTTGCTGCATATCTCAGTAATCGTTGCTTGAGACCAGATTCATAAATTAAGCTGCAAAATTGTGTTTTTTCTAAGCTACTAATCAGACCATTCTATACTAGATATTAAAATAGGTATTGCTTTCTAACCTTTCCCACATGCCATCAAATTCCTTGGCAGGAAGAGCCCATTCACTAAAGCTGGAAAGTTGGCTATCCCCATCTAAATCTTCACTAGGTCCCTCTTCACTAAGCTGAAAAGGTAACAACATATCCACATGATCATGGCTCATAAATAACTGAATACTTACAAACATATAGTTTCAACTCCAGAAAAAGGATTTTGACATCACAAGCTTAAGAATGCAGTAGCCACATGACTTTGAACACTGCAATAAAGGTTTGGATTTGCTATTGCTCTCAATTGACAACAACTGTAACTGTCACATATTCTGTAAAGGAACAGTGGCTGCAATGTCCAGTATTTACAGTTGTGCCTCGATGAGTGACAGTTTCTATTGTAAATACAGTAAACTGCCAAGTTCAAATATCTAGCTTGATTTTCATTCGTGTCTAGGCATGTCATTCACGACATAGTAGAGTGAGAAATAACACTACTCGTATGATACATATATAGACAAAAAAAAAACACAAAATTAAATCACCTGAAAGACATGCACAAGAGGCTTGACTTGCCAAAACAACAAAATATCATGGTTCCCCACCCATTCCTCTGCCCAAAAAAAAAAAAAACAAAGAAGTTATTTAAAGAATATTGTTGTACAGAAGAACAGTTAGGTAGTCAAATCAAAGCACCAAAAGCCTGTTGTCCATTTTGTTGCTACAAACTTCAAAACCAAGAGATAACGTAAGTACTCGTATTAATGGAAGAATTGCAATACCTAATTTACATGGTTAACAACCCTTAATTCCTTTTCCACTGAGGGTACTTTAATACATGGTAAAGGCGTACCTGTGTCACAAATACATATTCTTTGCACATTATCTACGAGAAAGGTGTCACTGAGTGGAATATCAATTGGACCATCGACATAGCTTAAACTCCTCTTTTCCAGCATTCTGAACATAACAGAAAACCTATAAATTACCAATTCTACTAGTTCACAACATCGGAGTTGCATAAGTGAAAGACATCCTCTTTCCATTCCCAAAAGATTAGACTGAACAATATTTTTCTTACAAAAAGTGCCTTATTTTATAGCCTTTGGATAAATTATATGTTGCTAAATCACACTTGCTCTTTTTAAGTATTGGATAAATAGTCTTAATTCTATTTAATTCCGACATTTTCTCTAAAAAATATTCCAGATTTTAAATTGAGCTATATTTTGGTAATGGGGGAGTAAAAAAGAATAACTTGTTCAACTTTAAGCTACTATTTATAATTTACAAGACATACAAAATGCGCACATATCATGAAAGTAATTACCTTTCGACAGCTAATTTCACGTCCTCAATTCGAGCTGTGCTAGAAGGCTTCAAGCTAACTTCAACTACAATAATTACCAAGACTTCAACTTCTTTTAACTCAAAAAAACTAAAAACAAATATACAATACTGTCTACACTTATGTGCTAGATGCACATATACATCTTTTTTAGGGTTCATATTACCTGAAACAAGGAACTTGTCTTCGGCCATAGTCGGTGCCGGCGAAGAAGCCACTCCAGGCTCAGGGACAATGCCGGTCTGGTCGTGAGAGATGCCTCCATTGGTAACATTTTGAACCGAGATCTCCATTGGAACACTCATTCCAAATTGAGCAGCTGGGTGGGATTAGGAACGATGAACCGTAAAACCCTAGGTTGGGAATTGGGACTTCCCCAAAAAAGAGTCCTTTTTTTCTCCTGTTTTAAAATGAGCGCGGGAAGATGAGTTGCAAAAATACACCGTCAGAACACCAGCTCCTTCCTTTTTCAATAAATACCACATGTTTCCATGACGTAAGATATTTATTTTCTAATTTTTATTAAAATGGATGAAACTTATATCAATATAACTAGTTATATATCCGTGCAATGCAGCGGGATGTAAAAAGCTCATTAAGATTATTCAATTTTGAGATATCAAATTTCTTGTACAAAACCTACTACGTTTGTATCTAATTTAGATTCAAATATACATTCATCCAAAATATTGATGTTAGTAGGTTCTACAATTATTCATAAACCTTTATTTATAACCCGAATGACTCGAGCGGTGTAGCAAGATACTTGACCCCAATCACAACTCATCTCGAATCAAAGAAACCCTTAAAAACAAATGTGTTTGTTAATGTATACAAATACTGTAAATGTAGATCCGGAACTCCGAAATGTCAATCTTTAAAATAAGCAGTTAGCTCAAACTCTTGTAGTAAAATGAAAAGCCAAATGAAGACCTATATACAAGTATAAAAACGTATGGAAGTTGTAAGGGTGTCGGTGCGACCGGAGAAGATACGGCGAGAAACGGCAGAGGCAAGGAAGAATGTAGCTGGGCCAATGGAGGTGATTGAAAAAAAATCAATCGTGAATTATGAAAATATGATTTACATTTGAAATGATAACAAAGTTTTTGATGGTAAGATGAAAATCTTGGGAACATAAATGGTCAAAATTTGAAAGGGGTAGATGGTTTAAATTTTCAATGTCTATTGGGAACAAAACTAAATACGAGAAAGATAAAACTTAAAAGTACGAGTTGTAAAAGGTGAAACATTATTAAGTCGTATCATATGCATAAATGACGCGTAATTAAGACTTTATACATAAAGAAACAGTATCTTATGCATTTAATGTTGTTTTTAAGACTTTTATCAAATATGCTTTATAATATAATATAGATTAATGTTTAATCATTATTAATTAAATATGTTAATTTGTTTTGTTTTTATTTTTATTATTTAATTTTTTTTAATCAAATACATATAATCATGAACATATATAAATGTAAATTGAGAAAATCAATTGAATGTGATATACTTAAGATTTAATTAGTATAGATAAGTTATACCAAATGGTTGATGATGAAAAATAAATTGTGAGTAGACTAGAAAAAAAAAACAATATATTAAATGTTAGAAAAACATTTTGATGTATCAAAGTATCAACTCGATAATCCTACCAACCCGTACGGTTTGGATTGGTTTGTGTTAGGTTGAGTTGAGGTTTTTTCAATCACAAACATTGGGTTTGGTTGTTCAAATGTTTCAACTCGATCAATCCAACCGATAAACACCCCCAATGTTAGGGTGATTGATTCCTTTAAAATAAGTGGAGTAGGAATGAAAATGATGGAAATGGATATTCCTTATTGTATTATTGTGCATTACTTTGATGGTTGTTCCTCCAAGTAGAACAAGTTGTCTCTCCTGTAATATGAGTAACTGTTATCGATTTCAGTGTTTATTTTATTCCTCTTTTATGTTGATATAATACGATTTTATGTGGTTTTGAGAACGTGGTAATATTTTTTATTTTTKAATAAAATATAAATTTAAAAATATTATAAAAATTTGAATATATATATATATAGCAAATTAACCTATTTAAAAATTGTTGTTTTGATGTAATTTTCTTAATTCAATTTTTTTTTATTATGATTTAATTTAGGTTTAGTAACGAAGTAATTTAATTTAATTTTAATAAAATAATTTTTTATAAAGATAATAACTAAATATTATGTTAGAACCCAATGATTATTCTAATTATATTTTAGATTTTTTATATTCAAAATGAGATGTTTATCCATTATTTGATTATGTTTATCTGCAGTTAGTTACACAAATTCAAATATGGAGCTTTAATAAGTTGTACTTATGCACAAGTTACTTGTAATTTGAGTTTTAAGTAACATGCATCACTAAACAGTACTTCGTGCATAAAAAATGGTTTTTAAAAGTTTTTGTCAAATGCTCTATAATATAGTATAGATATAGATAAATAAGTAATAATCCGTTTAGATAACCAAGAATATTTAAATTACATTAACAAGGTGTTATTAACTATTTTCAAATAACTTAAACTAAGAGGCCGTTTACCAAATGCTTACTTGGGTAAACGCTCATGAAGTTACATCACCTTATCGAATGAACATCAAAAGGACCATGAATCTTATTCGATAAAAGCGAGACAATGACCTAGAGTCTTACCTGGTAAATGAGGGCAATGACTCTTACCACATTCAACTCTTATCGGGTAATTCGTTACATAGAAATCCGTTTTTTGTTGACTAAAATCTTATCCGGTAAGTAAATGATAGTGTTGAATTTTAACGCTAGATACTTACCTAGTAAGTGTTTGGTAAACGGCCCATAAATAAAATATCTTCAAATACGTTCAGAAATATCTTAATATGTTACAATACACAACCGAAATAACGACAACGTAAGGAGACAACATCTTTCCTTATTTAGATCGACATAATAACGATAGAAATACGAGCTAATCCAAACCCGAATACGCTCCAAATTTGTTCGATGCTAGTAGTACGAGTTGAAGGTTCCGAACTTATTCAGCTCAAAGTTCTTGTGCTTACGTTGGATGAACCCGTCAGCTTCGTTATCAACGCTCTCTGTATAAACGTTACGGTTTCCATTGCTATCGATGGATTCAGTAACCCTCTCCTCATGCTCCACAAAGTGGACTTGCTTGCGAGGCTCTCTCGACCCATGTCGATGATTTTTATGCAGTGGAACAGAATGACGTTCCTCTAACACAACACGAGTAGGGTAAGAAGGGCGGTCCTCTTGAAACACGACACGGTTGTCATCAAACACCAAGTGAGCGTTATGGGACTCGGGAACATCGTAAGATATCCTAGGACTCCCGTGAACGTATACAGGGGGTTCGACATCCCAACTGTACTGACGGTTATAGGGTCCAGACATCATGTTTTCGTGTTCGACTGATGGTTATGATAATTCAAACTTCAGAGGTATTTATAGAGTCGTGAATTGAAGGAAACTGTTTCGAATATTGTTTTGAAAAGACCAAGTTATCGAAATCGCATCGGGTTCTTTTTATTGGGGGTGAGATGTCGAATAAATTGGCTGGAGAATGGTGTTATGCCTAACGATTATTCCATGGCAGCCTTTCGTACAGTTTGATGCTTTGCTCATGGGCCATGGCCATGGGTTGCGTTAACCATTAGCACACGTTGTTAAATTGTCTGTTTCTTACTTCCTTGATAAAACCATTTGTGTCTGAAGATATATTAAAATATGAGTTTATCCTATGATTCGTATCCCTAATGTTTATCGAGTGTCACTCCTTTTACATAACGGGCATAAATAAAGATCGGAAATCTTACTCGACAAGAGATATAACAAGGATCGAAAATCTTACCCGTTAAAAGGAGAATAAAAAAGACATGTTTTTATCGTATGTACCTCTGTCAGCACAAAGATGAGGTGACTTTGCCCATATCAGTTATGAGGTGAATTCCAATAACAAGCAGCCGGTAAGCTGTAAAAGTTTGGTACGTTCACGATTTCGAGTTGATGCTATGGAGTTGAAGGTATCCATTTTTGTAGGGGATGAGTTGATCGAAATTTAGGGAGACAAAACAGTTGAGACGCTTTGATAAATTTTTGATCTTTAGGAATCTTGTTTTCAGATCAGGACTGAAACAAGAAAGGCTAATGACGGTCATCTCTTCCGCCGGAATAACCGCCACAAAACCCATTATAATTACTCCATTCCCTGATAATCCTAAGCATCTGATTCTTGAACAGTGCAAGACTGTAAAAGACTTGAACCAAATTCATGCCCATCTCATCAAAACCCGCTTCATCAGCAGCCCCTCGGTGGCGGAGAACTTTCTCGAAGCCGCTGCTATCATTCTACATCATCAACCCATGGACTACGCCCTGTCGGTTTTCGAAAAATCAAACGAACCCAATTCCTCTGCCTACAATATCATGATAAGGGGACTCATTTTGAAGAATTTTCCTCACGAAGCTGTTCTTATGTTCAAGAAAATGAATGAAAACTCGGTGCAGCCTGACGAGTTTACGTTTTCTTGTGTTTTGAAAGCTTGTTCAAGATTACGAGCTTTGGAGGAGGGGAAACAGATACATGGTCAGTTCATGAAACTGGGATATGGATCTTGTGGATTTGTTGAGAATAGTTTGATAAGCATGTATGCAAACTGTGGGGAAGTTGGCGTTGCTCGCATGGTGTTTGATGGAATGCCTGAAAGAGACGTTTTTGCATGGAATGCTTTGTTTTCTGGTTATACGAAGAGTGGGTGCTGGAAAGAGGCTGTTGGTTTGTTTCATTACATGTTGGAAATGGATGCCAAATTTGATGAGGTTACATTGATTAGTGTTTTAACGGCATGTGGGAGAGTTGGTGCTTTGGAGTTGGGGGAATGGATTAAAGAGTACATAGAAGCAAATAGACTCAAAGGGAATGCCACTTTGGTCACTGCTCTTATTGATATGTATGCAAAATGTGGGCAGGTAGATACAGCTAGGAGTTTATTTGATCAGATGTCAAGAAGGGATGTGGTTGCTTGGAGTGCAATGATATCTGGTTACAATCAAGCAAGTAGATGCAAAGAAGCACTTTCTCTATTCCATGATATGCAAAAGGCCAATGTGGAACCCAATGAGGTCACTATGGTCAGTGTGCTTTCTTCATGTGCTGAACTTGGAGCTCTAGCAACTGGTAAATGGGTGCATTTCTATATAAAGAAGAAGAAATTGACACTTACAGTGACACTTGGAACTGCTTTATTAGTTTTTTATGCAAAATGTGGCTCCATAGAGAATTTAATCGAAGTCTTTGAACAGATGCCTAGGAAAAATGTATTGTCATGGACCGTGCTCATTCAAGGTCTTGCAAACAACGGGCAAGGGAATAGGGCTCTCAAGTACTTCGATCTAATGCTGGCAGAACGCATAGAACCAAATGATGTCACTTTCATCGGCGTTCTTTGTGCTTGCAGTCATGCGGGTCTGGTTGACAAAGGTCGTGGTTTGTTTGTGAGTATGAATAGAGATTTTGAGATAGAACCGAGAATTGAACATTATGGTTGCATGGTTGACATTCTTGGGCGAGCTGGATTGTTAGATGAGGCATACCAATTTATACAGAACATGCCTATGAAACCAAATGCAGTTATTTGGAGGACTTTGTTGGCATCATGCAAGGTTCATAAAAGTGTTAGAATAGGGGAAGAGTCACTAAAGCAGATAATGAGTCTGGAACCTGTTCATAGTGGGGACTATTTACTTCTATCTAGTATATATGCATCAGTTGGTAGGTCTGAAGATGCACTTAGGGTCATGGGCGAGATGAAAAAAAACGGAATTAAAAAGAGTCCTGGTTGTAGCTCAATCGAGGTGGATGGACTCATCCATGAGTTATTTGCTGAAGAAACCGCACATCCCGAGTCTGAGAAAATTTATGCAGCAACTGAAAAGATGATGAAGCAGATAAAGTTGGCTGGCTATGTACCGAACACAGCAGAGGCAAGACTGGAGGCAGACGAATATGACAAAGAAGCCTCACTGTCTCATCACAGTGAGAAGTTGGCAATTGCTTTTGCGCTTATTAAGACTTTTCCTGGTACCCCTATTAGGATATCGAAGAATCTTAGGGTGTGTACAGACTGCCATGAAGCAATAAAAATTATTTCGAAGGTTTATGATCGAGAGATCATTGTTAGGGATCGGACTCGCTTCCACCATTTCAAGGACGGTTCATGTTCATGCAATGATTACTGGTGAACTTGTGACCCCTTCATTTCACCTTTTTAAGCCTTGTTATGGAGCTTTACTTGCGCAAATTCGCAATCAATTAAAACAAAGATCATCTTTGTTGTATGGTTCTGCTCTGATTATGGCTATGTTTGGCAACCATAACCTAGTTTTTTTTTTGTTTATTGAAAAACATCGTTTGGTTAGCCGTAAACTAGCTTTTAAAAAGCTAATTCAAATATTGTTTCAACAAGCTCCAGGGGGTTTTTTCCAATTATTTTTTTTAGGTCATTTTACGTTGTCCTTTAGCTTATCAACTAGTTTATCAACTAGCCAGCAGATAACTTATTAACCTACAGCTAGCTTATTAGCCAACAAGTAGTTTATTAGCTAGTTTGCCAAACATAGTCTATATATAAATGTACCCCAAGAACTGGATATTTGACTTTTCTAGGATAGAGTGCATTGCATTAAAAAAATTACTGAACTACTTTTTATCATGTCTTTATTAAAAAAGAACCCATCTATGCTCTTGCATTTATTATTAATATTATCTTCTGTGTTTCTTTATCAAAAACTTGCTTAATGTTTCTGGAGGTTGCTAATACTTGAGATCAAGTACTTCAGCATCGTATTATTCCTGTACTTAGATACTTCCTTCTACCCAAATAAAGTCCCTGTAGAACCATCAAGTAAATGGTGACAGGGTACAATACAGGCATACATGGGTTCAATTTTGTCTTTCAGAATTTATAGTTGCACAACTACAATTGTGGTATCCATTTTGTTAAGTGCCCAGATGTATTCAATGATCTGGTCTGGTTCTAGTCTAAGATAGTAAAGAAAGAACCAAGATGTTTAGTTAATTGCAGAAGGGAACATCTATATCATGTGAAAAGAGCTTAATTTACAAGATGATAAAGTTAGCATTTTTCTTAGAAAAATACCACACGGTTCTTAAAAACTACGCGTTCTTCACCTTGTGATTTCTCCGTCAAAAGCATCAATAGCACTGATTGAAGCAGAAAAAGAAACCTTTTGGCTTGTTTTCCATTTCACCTCTTGGAGTATCTCCTGTATAATTGCACACTGCCATCAAAGCGCTTGTACCTGGAGAGTCTGGGGACATTGGAGCATTTTCATCTGTGAAAAGCCGAGAAGGGATCATAGATTTTGACGGCAAAATCGTGGAAAAATAATGTAGCAGCATTTGTATGATCTGGCTGAAGTTTGGTCGAGCATCTGGATCCTCCATCCAACATGAACTCAGAATTATTGCTAAATCTTCTGGTAGATTTTCCAAGCTTGGCCTCACATTCTGAAGCATGAAGCAAGTAAGTTCCAGAAACCGTCAAGTATGTGTCTGCTTGTGTTTGATATCTAGAAAATTTGTACCTTAAAAGCTGCAGCATATGCAGCCTGTAGGTTCGACATACCCTCAAATGGCATTTTATTGTGCAGAAGTTCCCACAGTACAATGGCAAAGCTATAAGCATCTACTTTCTGGTTGTAATGCTTCTTCTCTCCTTGCCTTAGTGTGACTGTACTATATAACTGTTGGAAAACACATTAACACCCTCGATCAAAAACTTTAAAATGGAAAGGCAAGCCTTTTTTTTTCTGTTGAAACTTGAGGATCAGCCCAACCGACAAATAAAGGCAAGCTTTTTTTTACTGTTGAAACTTGAGGATCAGCCCAACCGACAAATAAAGGCTAGACCTTGGGGCTCCTATCTGTAGGGTTGCCAGTTCGAGTCTCCTCAGGGCCACTGGAATCTTCAGGGCCCCATTGGATTAATTGAGGTGTGGACAAGCTGGCCTGGACGCCCATGGTTATAAAAAAAAAAGTTTATACTTTTTCTGTTCCGGTGGGGGGGCGGTTATAGTCTTATAGGGTGTATTATTGTACCTCTGGAGCCATCCAACGATACGTTCCTGTTTCAGCTGTCATCATCTCTGTTACTGACTCTTCTCTTGCTAATCCGAAATCTACAAGTTTAAGTGTTCTTTGGTCTTTTGTCAAGACCAAGTTTTCTGCAGAAAATTAGAAATCCAAGATTAATTATTGCATTCTAACAGATATCATGACAATCTTTTGAAATAAAATCAATGGTCTGATTCTCGGAATAAAGCTTACCAGGCTTTAGATCTCGATGAATGATCCCATGAGAGTGCAGACACTCCATCGCACGAGCAATATCGAGTGCAAAACCTATAGCAACATGCATGTCCAAGCTACCTGGCCGTTTGTTTAGCATATATTTACGTAAAGATCCTCCTGTTAGAATCTCAGTAACGATAACCATCATAGGCACTTTACAGGCCCCTATGAACTGTTTGACAGCAAAAAGGATACGAATGTGTTAGGTTGTGTTCTTCCTGCTTAGATTGAACCCTCATCTTAAATCAAGATCAAACCTTTGCCAGGTTCTTGTGTTGGACTCTAGACCAGGTAGCAACCTCTCTCATGAACCGCGATTCTCTTTTAGCAATTTCTTCGGGTGTGTCACCTCTGTGGACGATTTTAATGGCAACATTCTGGTTTTTATATCTGGATAAAGAAAAACAACCATAGATGGTTAGATCTTTACTACCCAATTGCCCATAAAACAAAATGCAGATCAAGATTTGAAAAAGTGATGAATCTTGTTTCACTTACTTTCCTTCATAGACCTTGGCATGAGCTCCTTCTCCAATTCTTGGGCCAACAAAAAGATGTTGAGGATCAATCAACCATTTGGCATCAAATCTGTACTCATCAACTGAAGAGAAACTATCCACACTTCCCATCTTGTTAGATATTGCAGAAATAAAGTCAACACTAAGCCAACAAATGCACCATTTTATTAATACCCATCATGTAGCTTTGAGTTATTCACACACAGCAGACAGTCTCTCTCTCTCTCTCTCTCTCTCTCTCTCTCTCTTCAGATGGGTTAAATTATATTAAAGCCACATGGGATGATGGAACCAAAAGGCAAAGGACAGTGTTGTACTTTAAAGTACTGAGAAAATGGCAACAACAACACCACTCATCATCATCAGCCAATGATGCTAGATCAAGATCCAACAGTTGGGGATAAACCATTTTTTACTTTTGATCTCAAACCTTCTGGTACCATTTTTCAATCTTTTTAAGCTGGTTTGATATTAAAAAGTCAAAATGCATCTGTTTATTTGTTGTTTTTGCAGGAAAATGTAAATGGAAAAAAGGAAAGAAATTGAGGTAAAAGAAAAGGATGAGGAGACAAAATCATTAAAGAGGATGGGTGATTGTCTTTATGAAGGGGGAAAAGAACAAAAGAGAGCACGAGAGAAGCAAGTTTTTCTTGGCTAAACACTGCAATGAATGAATAAATTAAAAGAGCTGCACATGGAGACTGATCCCTTTAACATGTGGGTGGAGATGGCGACGTTTAGATGATGCCCCCCCAGGATAACTGCACCTTTGTCTTCCTTAATTTAGACTTGTACCACTTTTAAGATTGTTAAAACTCTTATTAATTCATGTCTTTTTTGTTATGGATCATGTCCGATTAAGTCGTCTATGAAACAGTATAAGTGTACAAAAACGGCACTCTAGGCTATTAATTATATGAATGCCAAGGTTGCCATTATTTTCTTATTGGCGGTACATAACATTTATATACAACAAATGCACGTTTCTCGTATTTGATGACGGGTTAAATTTGAACCATTGAGTTCCTAGGAGACTTGATCTATTGTTAACCAGGTATCGCTAAGCCAAAAACCCTTTGGTATGATTATTCTGGCCGGAAAAACAAAGGTGGAAGGGGTGCTCCGATTTATATCATAGGATTTTTATGTAATAATCAAATAATAAAAAACTAACTTAACTATTTTTATAAAAAATGAATTCAATTCCATTTCAAATGGTATAAACCAAAATCTCGTAAAATCCCAAACACCTCTAAGGAGTTCAAAATCCTATGAATGTACAATTTCAATTAAATCCTAGTATTCAAAATTCAAAAAATCCAACAAACTAAACATGAGATTGAAATGGATTTAGAATCCCAAATCCATACTTCAAAATCCTATGAATGTACAATTTCAATTAAATCTTAGGATTCAAAATTCGAAAAATCCAACAAACAAAACATGAGATTGAAATGGATTTAAAATCCCAAATTCAAATGACACGTAAGTTTTGATTTTGGGTTTTCTTTAACTTGCTGATTTTTCTGTAGGACCGTTTACCTAAATGCTTACCGGGTAAGCGTTTACCGTTAGGAGTCGATACTATAATCTATTTTACTGGATAAGATTGTAGTACATCAAAATGGTATCGTATGCAACAATTTACCTGGTAAGCACTTATCCGGATAAGAGTCGTCACCCTCACTTACCGAGTAAAATTCTTCATCTTTATCATTGTTCTTACCGGATAAGATTTTTGACCCTTATCATGTTCATCCGGTAAGAAACGTTACCCAGTAAACACTTTCTGGGTAAATGTTCAGTAAACGACCCATTCGTCTTGGGTTGTTTCAAAAGTATCAAGACTTCTTTAAACTCGCACAAACTTTTAGAGTGCTTATGTCTTGATTATACGTACACATCTAGATCATAAATCTTTTAAATAGAACTATATTAGATTTGTTGTTTATTTTCGGGAAAATTGCATCAAAATGGAAACAACTTTTACCTAATTTCTATTTTGGGGAACCAACTTTCAAAATCGTCATTTTGGGAAACCAATTTGCACCTGATTCCTATTTTGGGGAACCAACTTTCAAAATCGATATTTTTGGGAACTAACTTGCACCTGATTCCTATTTTGGGGAACCAACTTGCAAAATAATTATAGAAAAATAACTAAGATTCTTTTTTTTTTTTCCAAAAATTAATGCAATAAAATCTATTTTTCATTTCAAATTTTGTTTTTTTTAATTCATATATCAAATTGGACATTTAAAAAAAATCCAAATTACCACAATAAAAATTATTTTTTATTGCATCAACTAATTTTTTTTCTATTAAATTGATTTTTTTTTGCATTAATAAAAAATAATTTTTATTGTGATAATTTGGATTTTTTTTTTAAAAATGTTCAATTTGATATCTGAAGAGATTTGAAATGAAAAATAGGTTTTATTGCATCTTTTTTGAAAAAAAACGAATTTTAGTTATTTTTCTATAATTATTTTGCAAGTTGGTTTCCCAAAATAGGAATCAGATGTAAGTTGGTTCCCCAAAATGACGATTTTAAAAATTAGTTCCCTAAAATGACGATTTTGAAAGTTGGTTCCCACAATAAGAATTAGATGAAAATTGGTTCCATTTTCATACAATTTTCCCGTTATTTCCAAACAGAGTTATGCACACCGATTTATATCTGAGATGGGATTTTGATATTGTTTTCATGTTAGTTTTCCCTCTAATTGTTTTTCAGAAAATAGGCAAGTGTAAACAGATGCCAGTCGTTTGAATCGAAGCTTCCATCAGTTTGAGATGTAACGATGTGTTGCATTTGAAGATATATGTGAAAACAGAAAAGCAATGGCCAACAGCACAATTATAAAGCCATCTTATATACATAATAGCATCCAAGTTCCATAAACCAACAACCAGACCCACTTAAACAAAGCTTAAACAGACACACACACACACCCCAAACAGACACCCACGCTAAACCAAGTTCGAAACAAGTGACCACAGATGGCATGTACCAAGTCTTGGCAACACCTTATTCATATATCTTCATTACTTGATAATTAATTTAAGCCCTTTCTCCATTGATGAGATCCATCACCACACCCTTGATGCTTCCATTGTTCTTCTTCAACAGCCTCCTGTTTGCTTCATTATCTGCAAAACCCTACATCCCATTGCCATTGCCATCAATAAACATTTCCATCTTCATAAACATGTTATAAAATCATTTATTCATAATGAATGTTACTCACCATTTCCTGCAACTCCTCGAGCATTGGATCCCACTCCGAAACACCACAAAGCTCATCCACTGATTTCTCCAGATTATAATTGTTGGTCCTCAAGATTTCTTTGTTCAGATCCGCCTGTCTGAATCCCATTTCTTCCAGCTCCATCAGAAGAGCCGACTCCCGATCATCAGCCACCTCTGCACTTGCAGAACCAGATGGCTGCACCACCACTGCCGCTGTCGGGGATGGTGCACTAGGACCCGCTTCAGAATACTCTATGCCAGGATAAATAATCTGGTCCGGAGATGAACCGGTATCAGCTCCTCCTACTGTAGGATATAAAGCCGAAGAAACAGCTGGTCCAACTGGAGGAGAACTAGTAGCAGAAGCAATGTCTGGGTAAAGAAGCGAAGAGACAAGAGGTCCCAGTGGAGGAGGAGAATCAGCACCAGTGCTCGACTCTCCATCCTTCTTGTTATTATTATTATCTATAATCAAGGTGTCATTGATGGGAAAATTCATCTCCTGATCCTTAGGTTGCCAATCTTCAGAATCCGTCACCCTAATGAAATTGTTCTCAGGAAGAACACCATTGCTATCCATCACCTGATTCTGATCAACCACTTCAGCGTTCCTCATAACAGGAGGCAGATTCAGATTGATCGATGTTTCACCCAAATCTTTCATGGAAGTATCAACCTACATGGATGACACATGAATTCATTAACATAATGATTCCCACCATCATCTTTACCCCAAAAAAATGATGCCCACCATCACAAACTACCTGAATCAAGACCCAAACTCGCTGGCCAAACTTCTGCCCAGATGGAGATGCCATCCTCCAATAAGAAATGTATCGGCCAGGAAGTTCTGGAGCCATAAAATCAACTGCAACATCAAGTTCCTTGTCCACAGGCAGACCATCTGCTGGAATCTGACAAGATGAAACCACTGTTTCAGCATAAAAACTATATATGAAGAGTTGAAACTAGAACAATAAGGTACAGATGCAAACCTCAATCTCAACAGAGCGTGAATTGCTCAACCTATCTCCACCAATCCATTGAAGCTGCGAGCCACGGGGCCAGATGACGGTACCATTATTCCTCATCCTCCAAATCTTGGTGAATGCAGTGAATGGAGCCATGAGGGTACCATCAAGAACATTAACATCAAGAATGAAGCGGCTATCAAGCTTAGACCGAGGAAGCTTTGTCCCAGGAGCTCTCAAAGCATGAGGCAGAGTTGGAGGTGGAATCCGAAGAGACTATCAGCAAAACAAAAATATACCACATTTATTATCAGTCAGCACCAAGTAAACACCGAATACACATTGAAGCGCTATATATTTAAAAACTACATACCGGATCATGAAACCCCTTGAAAGGCATATGATGCCTTACAAGATTTGCAGGGCGATCCAGTCTGATGTAGTCAGCAACATTACCCATTCCAGCAAAGCAAACGCTGCACAGATCATAATCTTCTTTCCTGCAAAAGGCACAAGTTACTAAAGCTGGTTTACGGATAGACTAATTAGCAATAATAATGATTACATACACTTTGGACTTGAACCGAGGCCCAGTTATCGGATGAACACCACAACCATCGCAACGAACCCCCCTGTGAAATATATTGCCTATGCCATTACCATGGTTATAGCTTCTCCTCCAAGGACCACGAGAAGGTTGATAAGCATGCAAACTAAGGTCGTTTGGTAATGGCATTCCTGAAAATGGGCATTGATTAGTTGCATTCAACATGCCCTGAGCCCAGCCCGACGAACTGCCAGAATAATCATCAGTAGCTTTTGGGATGTCAGCTGATGACAGACCACCCATCTCAGTCACGTTATGATCCTGAATATATTGCTTCAGATAATCAAGACAGGGTGCAGCAAAACCAGCATTCTTCTTTTCAGAGCTACCATCAGTGGTGTCTTTGTTTTTCATGGAAGGAAGATCAGATACAACTTGGGAATAAGTTCGGCCATTAGACCCTTCCACACCCTTGTTGGTAWTAAATGGRGTCTGAAAAGCTTCATAATCAAAGTAAGGAACATTAAGATCAACCGCTCTTGGGGGCTGAACATCTTTGAACTTCACACCTTCATTCACCTTTTGAACCTGCTCTTCTTTCTTCTTCGATTTGGATTTTATAAGTTCAGGGTCCACTGGAACCTTACTGTCCTTCACAACTGATGGTCCAGAAGTCTTACCCTTTCGACCATTAACGTTCGATGATTCAGAATTCTTAYCCTTTTSGCCATTAACGGTTGCTGAACCWTCGCCAGGGGTGGGKGCCTTTGGGCTAGCAATAGGGTCAGAAAGCTGATTCAAGTATGTTTTTGTGAGCTTTTCCACAAGCTCAGCAATCCCGGGAGCAGAAGATGATGCTTTAGATGCCAAATCTAGGGGMAGTTTAGCAAGCACATMGCGAAAGGGCTCAGGYACAGATTTCAGAATTTCAGAGACACCAGAATTCAAGGATCTCAGGGGAGTAGAAGTCCCACTTGGTTCATCAGACTTGCCATTGTTTAACTTCACAGTTATCCTCAACGGATTCAGAGACTGGCGCACAACATCATGGATATCATCATCATCAGCAAGAGTAACCTCGTCGCCATCTTCATCAACATAAGTGAGAGTGAAATCAACATCAGAATCAAAGCCAAATAGACTGCGGATCTTCGCCCTCAACATGACAACATCAAGAGCAAGTTCCTTGTCATGAACAAGTGCACTAAAGCGTCGAAGTGTTTCCCCAAACTTAACCTGCAAAAAAACAGCACAAATTTATCAAGATTTTAGCTTAATTTAACCAAACAGCACAAAATATGCATCTAAGATCCAAAATTTTGAAGTAAAATTGTGTAAATTTAATCTGGTACACAAGCCACCATCACAAGATAATACTTGACAAATTGCAAGTTTCAGCTCCATGCCCAAAAATAAAATTCAAAATAAATAAAATACAAATAAACAAATTACATGTTAAAATGTGGTCTTTTTTATTTACAGCAACATATAGCCACTTAACATGATCATACTTAGGGTTTCAATCCAAAAGTTCGTTAATTTTAACCTACAATACACCTAAAAAGCTTCGATTCACATAAAAATGCAATTTAACTGGTTGTATAATGAAAACCAATAAAAAATTCAAACCCAAACCTACATATCAAAAGAGCGACATCAGGTTCCAACCCAAAAAATACTTCAAATAGTGACAGATACTGATCTTCGTCATGAGTGGTTCAACAAAAACCCTAACCCTAGCTTCAAAACAACACTCTGAGCCTTCTACTCACATGACTATTCTCCATAACCATCCAAAACTCAAAAAGATAAAAACCAATTACGCCCAGAAAATGGAACAAAATACACCACAGCACTAAACCGGCACATATTAAAAGATGATAGGACTCATAATCCACGCAATTGCATAACTGAAACAATAAAAAAAGCGTGAAACACAAACCTTGATCACAATTGATGAGGAAGCCATGTCGAGAAACTAAAGCGACAAAAACCCTCGAAAGAAACAGAAAATGAAAATCGGGGCGATTGATTTATGAAACAGAAGAAAGAAAACCCAATAGTTAGATTCGAGAATAGGTTTCGCGTAGCCGTGAGCCGCGAAGCGATATGGATCGCTATGAGATTATGGGAAAGGCGTGAGTTGTGAGCGAGTATATAAAGAAGCGGTGTTGGGTTGGGTACTACTGATGACGTATGTGTAGAGAAGTAGTGTCTTTCTTCCAAAGAAATCTTGGAAAGCTACTACATTAAGGAAACCAAAAGTCTCATCCTTTCTTAAAATAAATAAATAATTACGTATATTTTGATAAAAATGTATTATTTATATTCATTCAATCAATATTTTTTCTAAAGTATTAATTGTGCATCCGTACAACACGGTAGGAGCCATGAATTTTAACGATTTTGAAGTTTTATTAGTTTTATAAAATAAGATTTAACGATGATATAGGTTACACTTGGTCTTTACATATTAATACAATTTGAATAAATAAGAGTTATGGTTCCAATCACAGACTATCGATGAAAAAAATTGTATGACGGTTTAAAATCCAACATATTTAAATGACTCTACAAATGTGTTCGATTTACACCAAGAGCAAAAAACCAATAAACATGAGTTTTAAGATAAACATTCAAACCCAATAAAGAAAACTACAAATTTGACAGATCATAAGCCATGAAAAGACAAAAAAAGATGGGTTTTAAAATGAAATTTCAACTACTTACCTTCTTTCTTGTCCAGAAACTCAGATTAAGGTTGAATTAATACATGTATATATATATTTCAAAAAAACTCAAGAACATATTAATTCATAACATATTATACAGTGCAATTTGGACAGTCTAACCCCAAAATATATAGTATATATATAAATAAATAACTATAAAAGTATAAATCGTAAATATTAAAGATATTATTTCACAGTATATATATAATTAAGTAAAAAACTATTCAATATTGGACTCGTTTTGAAGGTATTAATGAGAGGATTATAATTGTATAACTTATTAAAATAAAAACGTATTTTTTAAACATGTTTTAATTGATATACGATTATGTATGTTAATTTGATAAATGTTTAAAATAAAACATTTAAAAGTAAATGACGCAAAGTAAATTAATTAACTAATTATGGGGGTATAAAATGTAAATTTAAAATTATAATTTTAAAAAAATCGGTTGTGAGAGGGTGAATGTATGTGAGGAGAGGAGGGGTGAAAAAGTGAAAAAGTGTAAAGGTTATCTTGGTCATTTAATATTTTAAGACTTTAAGACTTTTGTTAAATTTGCTTAATAAGATAGTATAGATAATTTGTCACATTTTTAATCAGACTTAGATGTCGTTTACCAAATGTTTATTCAGATAAGTGTTTATCAAATCATATTTGAACTGCTAAAACAAAAATACCAAATCACCGTCGCAAAAAATGGGTGAGCTTTGTTCCTAAATCAAATCAAAACCTTAAAATAAATCACATGGTCCCCCTTGTCTTTCCGTCAGTGATGGATAAAAATATGTTATTGATGCCTTGATGGTGAACAAATCCGTACGATTGATCATCGTATATAATAAAAACGGCAAAGAAGATAACTATATGCCAAATTCAACCTTTGTTTGATGATGAACAACTGTTGTCAAGTGATATAGGCCCATTACGACAATTACAATTAGTGATGGCCAAACCGGCCTGGGACCGTCAGAGAATCGGGAGTGGGACCAGCCCGAGACCGGTAAGGACCGGTTATAGGACCGAAATCTAGGATCGGTTATGGATTTGGGGTGTTTCGCGGGACCGGGACCGGTTATGGCGCAGCCCGGCCCGATTTTAAAAAATGTAACTAATTTTTTTAATGTAGCCGTTTTTTGGCCCCTTTTTTGTATTTTTTGCTTTCTAAACACTATATATAAGTGTCTTGGTTGAGGGATTTACATACCAAGTTCTCGATTCGCAAAACACGAAAAAAAACGTTCACAATTATCAGTTTCTCGCTATATTTTGTAAAACAAATGTAATTTTAATTATAATAAAATACATTTTTAAAGTGTATTTGAGTGACCTAATTTCAAATTTTGTAATGTATTAAAAATATATATATCTATACTATATTATAATGCATTTGGCTAAAACTCTTAAACTCTTAAAACTCTTAAACCCGTTCATCCCTATCCGATTTCATCCCATAACTGAATTTGTGTAACTAACTGCAGATAAACACAATCAAATACAGGATAAACATCTTATTTTAAATATAATTTTTTTTAAATATAATTAGGATAATTATTGAGTTTTAACAAAATACTTAATTACTATCTTTATAAAATGTTATATTATTAAACCAAAAAATAAATTATTTCATTATTAAACTTAAATTAAATTAAAAAAAATAATCTATATCTATACTATATTATAATGCATTTGGCTAAAACTCTTAAAAACTCTTAAAACTCTTAAACCCGTTCATCCCTATCCGATTTCATCCCATAACTGAATTCGTGTAACTAACTGCAGATAAACACAATCAAAT